TTTTTTTTTTTTTGTACATAGAAGTAAATTATTTTGAAAAAAACATTTATAAAGTATTACGAAAACCTCAAAATATAAATAAATAAAATTTTAAAATGTACTAAACTCTTTATAAAGATTGAGCATACTAAAGAGAATATATAGTTTTCTTAGTGAGGCAAAGAAATATATTTTATGTATTTTTTTTAACAATTTAAAAAAAAAAAAAATACAAGGATTCTTTGCTGGAAAAATAAAAAAATTTTGCACCACGTGAGATTATAAACATTAATAGGGACTTTTTTAATTTTTAAAAAATTATTTTTTCTTTTATATTTTTTTAATATAAATTTAAAAAAGAAAATAAGAAAAAAAAAAAAAACATAAAAAAAAAATATTCTTAGATTAAAAATTAATGTGATTTCTTTATATGTACTTTTAAATTTCAAAAAAGATATAATAAATATAAAGAAAGCAATTCTAAAAAATAAATTATTATAAAAATAAATAAATAAAAAAAAATATAGATATTTTTTGTAAAAACATTATATAATTTTTATCAAAAAAAAAAGAAAAATAAAATACATTCAGAAAAAAAAAATGATATTGCAATATAAATTCTTTTTTTTTAGAATTTAAAAAATGCATGTACTTAAAATTTTAAGATTTTTTTTTTTTTTTCCTTTTTGTTTTTAAATATTTTTAGCTCTTTTTATTAAAAATTTATAAATTTATATATTTCTATGTTGAAAAAACTTTAATTCTCTATTATATAATTCTTTTAATTACCTTATTTCATTAATATATATTCTCATTTTTTTTTTAATTTTTTTAACAAGTAATGACAATTGCTTTGATGATTTAATTCTTTTTTGTTCTACAATTAGTTGTAAAATTCGTTAAAATTTTTTTTTGTGAAATATATATATATATATATTATATATATATATATATATATATTTATATTATATTTATATTTATATTATATATATATTTATATTATTTATATATTTATATTTTATAAAGTTCTACTTTTTATTTCTTAGATGATTTGATGTTTTAATTATAAATAAAATTTTTAATGAAGTTTCATTTCATTTTTAATTATGACTTTTTTAAATTTATTCGTCCTACATTTTTTTTTTTTTTTTACTTTTTTTTTTTTTATTTCTATTTTATTTTCTTTATTTTTTATTAACTTTTAAAATTTTTATAAAAAATTCATTTATTATTAATCTTTATATGTTTCTTCTTAAAGGTGAAAAATTTTAACAAAAAAATAAAAAGAAAATTAAAAATGGAATTTTGTTTATATAAATATGAATATATTTTAATTTATTTATAGATGCTAATATTTAAAAAAGTGAATTCAAAAGTTTTAAGTATAAACAATTATTTACAAAAGTAATTAACTACTTAGCATTTGTTTTTAAAATATTAAAAATAAAATAATTTTAAAAAATATGCACATTATTTTACTTACATAATTTCCTTTTTTTTTTTTTTTTTTTTTTTTTCTCAAGATATTTAGAATCAAATCAATTTGAAAAAAATTTAAAAGAATCATTAAATAATAAAAACTACGGTGTTTCAAATAGCCTACTGTATGATTTATCTATTTCAACTTATGATGTGAATTATTATAGAAGGGTATTAAGCGAAGTTTTTAAGGCAATTCAAGAAAAGCCTTATAAATGGAGAAGGATATATAAAGTGAGCTGTTTTAAGATTTATAGTGCAATTATTGTTTCACTTAATTTATTATTTTTTTTTTTTTTTTTATTAGTACTTTAATTAAAACTGCATTTATATTTTTTTTACTTTTTAAAGGGTTTAAGATTATGCGAATATGTAATGAAGAATGGGTGTGAATATTTTATTAGTGATGTTAAGGAAAAAGAAGAATTGATAAAAAAATTGACACATTTTACATATTTAGAAGATTTAAAGGATAGGGGTGTGGGAATAAGAGAAATTTCAAACAATATTTTAAAATTATTACGAGATAACAAGTATTTAAAAAGTGAAAGAATGGAAGCTGTAAAATATGCAAATATTTGCACAAATATAGAATCAAAGCCAATTGAAAAAAAGGGATTTTTTTCTAATAAGAAAAAAAAAAAAAATAAAATAAAAAAAATTTATGAAAACAATAGAAGAAATATAATAGATTCAAGAAATAGCAAACTTTTTAATTCCAAGAATATTTTTGATGAGATACAAGAAGAGAGAAATATTTTAAATAGATATACAAGTAATAACAATTATAATAATAAAAATATAATGAATATAGAACAACAAAATATCGATAGTGATAGAAAATCAATAAAATCATATAGTGACACTTACAGTAATTCATCTAATAGTCACTCCGTCTATAAATCAAGTAAAAATATCTCAAGAAAAAGCAGAATTCATAGTTCATCTTCTGCGTCATCAAAATATTCACGTTCACCTTCATCATCATCTTACCATTCTTCATCACGTTCATGTTCTAATGCAACATCTCACTCAACATCTCGTTCATCTTCAAATCATTCTTCTCATGTATCATCATCTCGTTCGTTTTCTCATCTGTCTTCTCGCTCATCTTCTCACTCATCTTCTCATTCATCTTCTCATTCGCGTTCTTCATCAACATCAAATGTTACAAGTTCATGTTCTAATTCAAAATCAAGTGGAAGAATTAGGCATAAGTCTAGTAATCATAGAAGAAATAAATTCGGAAAAAGGAATTGAACATATTAGAATATATTCAAAAGAAAGGGAATAAAGAAAATTTATACAAGTAACTATTTTCTACCTTGAAATATCAAATGAATGAAGCTAATTTTTCTAAAATAAGAAAAAGTTATCTTTTAATAACAATTCTATTCAAAATTTAAGTTACTATATTTTTTAGTCAATAGAAATAAATACTTAAATACTTCTATTTTATCTTACTTTAGGAGTTATATTTAATAAAATATTATAATTAAAGTAAATATTTAGATGTTGAAATAATTTTCATATATATGAATAATAAATTAGGATATCAACAGAACATAAACAAAATTTATCAAAACGATTGTAATATTTTTACTCCATATCAGAAACAAATAATTTCTCTTTTTATTTTTTTTTTTTTTTTGATAAACATTTATCAATAGCAATAAGTATCACATAAAATATAACTAATTTAGTTAATTTCCGACCTATAATAGATTTTTATATGTAAATTTATAAGGATACAAAAAAAAAAAAAAAATGAAAATTTTATTCTTCATTTAAAATAAAATAATTTTTTATTTGTAGAAACAATTTTTTATTATTTTTTTTCTTTTGTAGATTATAATAATAATTAAAAATTATAATTTATAAATATGTTTTTTAGTTATAAAAATTAATAAAATTGTTTAAATTTTTATGTTGCATTTATATATGTATTTATATATAATTGTTTTTTTAAATTATATTCATTCACATAAATTATTAAATAATTTTAAAGATTGCATATTTAAACTTCAAAATATTTTTTATGATTGATAGCTCTATTTCAACACCTTTTTTAAAATCTCTAAAAAAATGTTTATATATATATATATTTTTATACATATTTAATTATTAATTTCATATATATTTTAATCCATTGAGAATGATATTTTATTTTTTATAAAATGTTTAATTAAATTTTTTTTTTATATCATATAATTTTTTATATATTATAATTAATAAAAAGAAAGATAGGGATTTTTTTTTTTTTATAAATTATAAATTTTATTTTTTCCACTATTTGTATGTGAAAAAATATTGTTTTAAAAAGATATTTTTTCATTATTATAAGAAAAAAATTGATATAAAATTATTGTTTATTTATATATATATATATATGTAATTTTATTTAATTATATTGAAAATTATTAAAATTTTTAATATATTTTCATAAATTTTGTAAAATAAAAAAAATAATGAGTGAATTATTATCAATAAAGAATTTATTTATTTGTTCTCATGAGAAGAGTGTAGACGAACTTAAAAGTGCTATAGAAGGTTTAATTGGGAAAAATAAAATAGAAAATAGTGGAGATAATAAAAATGAAAAAAAATATGATATGATAAAAGATTACTTGGATGCAAATAAAAATAATGTTTTACATTTTGCTGTTTATGGAAACAATTTTAATAATGTTAAATTTATAATTGAAAATACTAACCTTATAAATAGTTTTAATATTGATGAACAAAACAGTCTAATTATAAGTATATTAAACAAAAATACTGAAATTAGTAAATATTTAATCGATAATAATATTGACTATAATAAAACAGATAAGTATAAATCTAACGCTTTGTTGTATAGCCTTATTACGCAAAACTATGAAATTTTTAATATATTAATAGAAAAAAAAAATATAGATATAAATATAAATAGTTATGAAAAAGGAAATTTAATTAGTATATGTGTTTTTGAAAAAAATATAAAAATATTAAAAAAGTTACTTAATAAGAATATTTCTCCAAGTTTTGAAAAAAATATTTTTCCACATCCACTTATTTTTATTATTTATAGCAATGATAATGATTTATTATATCTATATTTAACATATTCTTTATATTATTATACTAAAAATGAAGAATTATATAAGTTAAATGAGATAAACTTTGATGATAAAACTAATAAAATAATCATTGATTTGGAAAATAAACATATAATTGATTCCATTTTAAATGATAAAAAATATGATTTAACAATTTTTAAAAAACTTTTAAATCTTAAAGATGAAAATGGTTCATCATTATTAGATATATGTACAAATAATAATAATAATACAGGGAGAAATGTCTTGTTATATTATAGTGGAAGTGAATAAATTTGTGAAAATGATTAGCAAAATTAGAAATAAAAATATTAATAATACCTTGATTAATTTATACTGATTAAAATTATTTATACATTTATAACAGAATAATTTTATATAAATTTTAATCTTATTTTTTTTTTTTTTTATCTAACAAATTAAAAATAAACGTAATATAATAATAAATAAATAAATAATTTATAAAATAAATATAAGTATTTATAAATGTTTTTAATTTTTTCATAAAATATATAATTATATAGAATATCTTTCATTAGTAATAAGAGATGTTTTATCATTTGTATTTATTTAAACTTTTTCTTTCTCTCTTTTTTTTATTACATATATGGAAAATTAATATATAGAATTACTTTTATCAGTTTTTTTTTTTTTTTTTTTAATATCATAGATGAACAGTAATACATTTTTTATAAAATACTTTTCAATGTTTATAAATTATTTTTAAAAAGACAAATATATAATGAATTTTTTTTTGTATTTTAAAAAGGTTTTTCTGTTAAATTTTAAAATATTATAAATATTCTTATATATAAAAGATCAATTTATTTCTATACATTAAAAAAAAAAAAATTTCCTCATAAAAATATTAAAAAAAGACACATTATTATTAATAAAATATCAAATTGACAGTTTTTTCATTGAAATTGTGTAAATAAGAACATATCTATATTTCTTTAATTCTTTTTTTTTTCATTTAAATATAAAATAAAAAAAAAAAAAAAAAAAAAAAAAAAAGCATATATATAATTTAATTTATTATGTATAGTATATTTTTAGTTTTTATAAAAAAATTGCTTTAAATAGTATTTGTTGGATTTTGCAAAAAAAATGTTGAGTACTTTTTTTTTTTTTTTTTTTTATAATTTTTGTTTTATAATAATTATTCAAAGAATATTAATATTTGTAAAAAAGAATTTCGTGGATAAATGTATTAAAATATGAAAAAATGCATATAAATTTTTTTTTCTTAATATGTCTATTTTTTTACATTTTATACAATTACAAATTTTTAATAAAAGGAAGTTTAAGAATATTACCATCAAATAATTTAATAGATGGTATAACAATTCATTTAACATATAAATTTATAAAATACAAGGTCTATGCTAGGGGAATATATTTAAATGTAAACTTTGAATCTGTAAATTCTGTTAAGAGCTTAATAGAGAAATATAAAAATATAAGAAATTTATATTGTAATTTAAATAAAAACAATGAAGAAGAAATAATTGATGGAGATATATTAACAACAAATAATTGTGTTATTTTTATAAATATTAAATACAAAGATCATTTAAAGAATATTTATCATCTTATGGAATATCTAAATTTAAATACAAGTGCAACTGCGCTAATATTTATATGTGATAACTTTTTGTATGAAAATGAAATATATAACCCTCATGAAGATTTAAACTTAACAATAATTCAACCAAGTATATTAACATATTTGATATCTTATGACTTAATATCAAATTATGAAAAAAAAAACTTTGATGAATATACTTTTGAATTATATTGGGGAGTAAACAAAAAAACTGATATTGTTCATATTGTTTATCATTTAGATTTCGGAAAATATTTTAATTACTCTTTTTTTATTTATATGAAACGTTTTTTTTTAGAATTGAAGAATCATTTAACTTATGAAATTCAATTTAGCATACATAAAAATTTCACCATTGAGCCTAGATTTTGCTTTATTAGAGATTCTTCATATTGCATTAGTAAACCTGATTATATAAATTCAAATGTAGTTCGAGAGGTTGTGGAACAACAAGTTAGAAGTTTATGCATTTATGAATTAACTTTAATTGATGATGATGAATTTCAAGAAAATTCAATTGATAATAAAAACATTCTTCTTAAAAAAAATAATAATTATAATTTATCTAATTCAAATGAAACAAGTTACTTGAATTATTATAGTATTACTAAAAAGGAAAAATTAAAAGAACGAAAAAAAAAAATGTTCAGTGAGATATATATTCATTATATAAATGCATTATTTGATTTCACATTTGAAAAAAAATACTGTTCTAGTGAATCGAATGACTTAACAAAAAAATGCTCTGATAAAATTTTGTCTGTTTTAAATGTATCAGTTAAAGACGTTGATAATTGCTTTCTAAATAATTTTCATACTTACATGAAAAATATGATAAAAAGTAAATTTTACGTTTATTCAATAGAAATAAACGACAAAACATATAAAATTAAATTAAATAAAGATATAAGTATTAAATTAATCTGTTCTGCTTTTAAAAGTATGCCATATCAATGTAAGGATTACTTAGCAAATCAAATATTTGAAATGGAAAATGAAAAGTAAACAAATGAATAATTAAAATAAAATTTTAAAATAAAAAAAAGTAAAATTTAGAATATTATATAAGAATATTTTAATATATATTATTTTATTTGTCATTACAAGTACAATAAAATATACAGTTATTTTCCATTTATGTTGTCTCATATACACATTTGTAAAAATAATAATTGATGTTAATATAAATATATACAAAAACATAATTATATCTATATATTCCTTTATTTCTTTTCCTTAATAGAGAAAATAGTGATGCAAATCTAATTGCTTTTTCCTTTCTTCTTATTTCTATTTCAGTTCATATTATAGGATCCTTTTTAAATTATTTGTAAATATATAAAAAAAAAAAAAAAAAAACATAATAAATTATAACATATTTATCTTTATTTTGTATATTTATGTTTATAACGTTATAATTATATTAACTGTATACTTAATATATGAAGTAAATAATTTCTAAACATCTTTATCTATTAATTTTTTTAAAATTGTTCTATTTTAATTATTTGTTATTATTTTTTTTTTTTTTTTTTTCAGAATCCCCAAGTTAATTGATGTTAACGAAAAGAAATAATAATTTTATTAAAAAGAAAATTTAAATCATTTCAAAGTCTTTAACAAAAATAGTAAGATGAATAGCATCTTACTTATTTTTTAAAAATGGTCTATATTTTTTATCATTTGGTTATATCAACCTTTCTCTATGAAATATATTTTTAATTATTATTAATACAAAACTTAAAAAAAAAAATAATAATCTCACAATGAAAATACAGAATTAATATTGTTGTTAAAATTTAGATTAAATTTATTTTGTATAAATATTTTTTAACTAATCAAAATACATATTGCAAAAATACTTTTTATTTAATAAGTATTTGTTTTTTTTTTTTTTTTTTTTTTCTCATATATATATGATATAATAAAAAAAAATATAGATTAATCATTTCATTTTGTTAGAAACAACCTTAATTATTGTGGCATGCTTGTATAGAGCAATAAGTTATTTTTTTTTTTTATTTTTTTTTTTTTTATCACCTTTTATTTGTAATACATATTTTTTATGAAAAAAAATGATTTAATTATTTTTTACATTTTTAAAAACGTTATTATTAAACAACTTTAAAAGTTAAAGAATAACAATGTTAATTTTATTAAATACAAATCTTTTTTTTTTTTTTTTTTTATTATAGTTTCACGTATATAATGCATATATTTACCAATATATATTTCGTAAATAAATTTATAAATATTTTTTTTCATTAATAATTTTATAATTTGATATAATAGAATATATTTTAATTTTATATTTTAGTTATGTGTAGAGATTTTAGAGTTGTATGGATTTATAAATTTTATAAGGAAAACTTGCTGATCAGAAAAAATATATTTTTATTTTAATTATACAAAATAAATATGCTTAAATATTAATATGTATTTACTTTTTTTTTTTTTTTTTTAAACTTTTTAAATATTTTAATATAAAGTATGCATTCTTCTAATTTTTTAAAAATATTGAACAACCAATAAAAATACAAAGGAAATAAAGGTATTATTATTACAATTCATTTTATTAATTTTATTTCAATAATTTTTAATATTTTTTTATAAAATTATATTTTATTTATTATTTTTTACTTTGATAATAAATGTTATAAGATTTCTTCACATTTTATGAAAAAAAAAAGTTTTTTAAATATTCTATATAAATTTTTTGTTGTATATTTTAACTAGTACTCATTATAAACAAATTGTTTGCATATAAATACTTATATAATTTGGCATTTTTTTTTTTTTTTAAAAAAAGTTATATGTATTTAATATTTAATTATTATATTTATACTTTTATGCAATTATTTATTTTTATATAATTATTTTGTAGTACATTATTTTATATAAACGTATTTACTAAAAATGAGAAAGAAAAAAACTTTAAAAGTAAGCATTAATGAAATTAAAAAATATTGCCCATTTGTGAAAAATATTCAATTTCTATATAAGAATAATGAAAATAAAAATAATGTAGCTTTATCAGTTATGTCTGATTTATGCCCAATAGGAAAAGCAATTAATGAAAAACATTTAATAATAATAGATAATAAATCAAAAATAAATATATTTAAGGTTTTAAAAGAATCAAATGTGGAAACAAAAAATTTAGTTGAGTATATTAAAAAAAATAAAATGATAGAAGATTGTGAAAATACTGAGGATAGTACATCTATTAATTTAAAGGAATCAAATAATGAAGATTCATGTGTATTAATGAAGAAGAAATTTAGTAATAGTTTAGTAACTTCAGAAGATGCCTATTCTATATATCAAAACGAATGTAATAATGATTTAAAAGGATTTATAAATAAATTATTTTTAGATAAAAGATATAGAATATTTACAATATTAAGTAAATATAGAAAAGATTATCCTAAAGTAAATATTGAAAATAATAAGTTAAATTTGCCTATTTTTTATGAATTTTATCAAAAATTTGGATATAAACCATGTATAGGAAATACAGCTTATAAATTTATTTATTCTACTTCTAATTATGATAATAATTATAATATCAGTAGTAATAATGATATTCATGTAAAAAAAGAGGAACATCAACATTTCATGTGGAAATTGAACAAACATGCAATTACTGATGAAAAAACAGTTGTGTGGTGCTCTAACGATTATTTATGTTTATCAAATAATGAAAAAATAATAGATGTAGGAATAGAAACCTTAAAAAAAATAGGTAATAGTAGTGGAGGAACAAGAAATATTTCTGGAAGTTTATTAAATCATACTCACTTAGAATATATTTTAGCAAAATGGTTTAATAAAGAAAGTGCTCTTTTATTTACTTCAGGTTATATAGCAAATGTAGGTGCTTTACAGACTATTGGAAAATTATTAAATTTAGTTTTTGTATCTGATGAAATGAATCATGCATCTATAATTAATGGAATAAGAGAATCTAAATGTGAAAAGCATATATTTAAACATAATGATATGAACGATTTAGAAAGAATTCTAAAAAATTTGAGAACTAAAAAAGAATATAAAAATAGAAAAATTATGATAGTATTTGAATCTATTTATAGCATGACTGGAAGTATTTCTGATATTAAGGAAATTGTTAGATTAGCAAAACAATATAATGCTCTCACTTATATTGATGAAGTTCATGCAGTTGGGTTATATGGAAAAAAAGGATCAGGATATTCGGAAGAATTGAATATATGTGATGAAATTGACATAGTTAATGGAACTTTATCAAAGACAATTGGTTCTTTAGGTGGTTTTATCTGTGCAAATAAATATTTTATTGATGTTATCAGGTCATATTCTTCTCATTTTATTTTTACTACCTCATTAACACCTGTTAACATTAGTACATCTGCTGAAGCTATACATATTATTCAAAACGATATTAATTTAAGAAATAAGTTACGCGATGTTGTCAAAAAAACAAAAGAAAAACTAAAAGAAAGAGGTCTACAAGTTATGGATAATAATTCACATATTGTTGTTCTTTTAATTAACTGTGCAGAAAAGTGTAAACAAATTTGTGATGATTTATTAAAAGATTATAATATCTACATACAACCAATTAACTATCCAACTGTTCCAAAGTAATACATAAATAAAGTTTTTATAAAGATATATTTATTTATATGTATATATATATATATGTATTTTTTTTTTTTTTAGGGGATCAGAAAGAATTAGAATAACACCATCTCCACTTCATACAGATGAGCACATTTCTAAATTAGTAGATAGTTTATATACTTTATTTAAAAAATATGAAGTTAACATATTTGACAAAAAAAATAAAAAAAAAATTGAAATGGAACTTTAATCATTTAGTAAAAATTATACGTATAATTAATTTTTTTTTTTTATTAAATTATGCGTATAAATTATTCTTTTCTTTTGTTCATATTTATATAGTAATTTTTAATAGATTTTATTGCATTTTTTTGATTTATCTTTATAAATTTTTTTTTAGAGATTTTTATAAAATTTTTTATTTAATTTCATATAATTGTTTAATTAATTTTATATATATACGTATTCTTTTGTTAATGGTTCTACTTAATATGTCAAACTCACATGTTTTAAAATAATAGAAATATATATTAGAAGCATTAATAAATATATATATATAGAAATATAAAAAATTAAAAATTTCCCACTTCTGAAAATTTTTATGATTTTTTTTTTTTTTAAAGTATTTTATAAGAAAACTAATCCCCAATGAATCAAGTTTTTTCTTTTTTTTAGAAAAATATGACTCTGTTTAATAATTATACCGTAATTACAAACTTTTAAATTCATTTCTTAAATGATTCTAACATAAAATCTAAAAATGTTATGATGAAATAAATAATAATTTACATAAAAAATAATGAGACTGAAATTTTAATAAACCTTATTACATAAATGAAAAAATATATAATATATATGAATAAGATCTTAAAATATGTAATATATTTTTATCTGTTTATAAATAAATACTATATTATTTTTTTTTTTTTAAGAATATATATAAAGTAAGGAAAAAAAGGTCATCCTAAAAAATTAATACCATATTAATTACAATATTCATAATTACATATGCTTATAAAGGAGAAAAGAATCACATTTAATATTTGATATTGAATTTTTTTTTTTCTTAATTTTAAGCTTATAATTTCACAAGGGCATAAAAAATTAACCTTATCTTGTATATTTCTTTTTAAATCATTCTGTATTAACCTTTAATACTTTTCAACTTCGTAAAAAATATTTCTTATATTTAAGAATAACTTTGACTTACACGAAAATAATATTCTTTTTTAGCATAATTGATTCCTTTATCAAGTAAAAATATTTTGTTTTCTTTTTTGTTAATGTGAATATATTAACATAGCTTTTTTATTTACATCACTTATAACAAAAATAAATATAAAAATATAAAATAACAAATTTATTAAATAATGTAAATGGAATATAAATAATATGCACCTAATGACAAAATAGTATTAATGGTGTATATATATGATAAGATATTATGAAAAAGATTGGTGTTATATATAAATGTTTCTCTTTTTTCATTTTTTTTATATGCAAATTAAGAAAAAATTTTAAAATTAAAATAAAAATAAGTGCTTGACAAAGTTAAAAAGAATACTAATAACTTAAAAAATTAGGCCGTCGAATTGTTAATTGTCTTTATATTTAAAGTTAATACTTTTTATCTCTTTTTAACAAAAGATAAACTACTAATATTAATGTTATTCCTAATGTTTTGTTTGTTAACTTGAATACAGTTAAACATGAACTGAAAACTTATCTAATGTTATTGTTAAATAATTATATAAAACAACCTATATTAGGAATGTGTAAATTATACGATAAACAATAATTTTATATAAAAAAAAAAAAAAAAAATTGTTTAAAAGTGAAAATTTAATATAATTATTTTTCTCATTTTAGAAAATATATTTAAGAATTGTTAAAAATGGCTGTGACTTTAATTTCTTTTAAAAAGTATTTTTTCATTTTCATCCCATTATAACTTTACATTAGGTTACAAAAACATACATATTAGAAAATTGAGCTGTAAAATTTAATTATTATAGAACTAATTAATTAAATACCATAAGCAATAAATATTTTGTTATTAAATTGTTTAAAAAAAAATTAAAAGTTAAAACACAAATAATTCAATGTTTTACATATAAAATTTCATTATCATAATTCTTTAAACTAAAGAAAGAATTAAATAATTTAAATGTTACTTATTGAATTAATTTATGTTTTAAAAGAGTTGTGTGTAATATGGAATAATGAAATGTGGAGGTATCTTCATTCTTAGTACATCAATAAACTCTTATAAAAAAAAAAATAAAAAAATAAAATAATAAAATGAAGGTTTTATATGGAAGTTTATCATTTTTTATAATTGCATGATAAGTGAAGAAATGTAATAATTTTAATTTAATATTTTTTAACACTTTTACTGAAATATGATATAAAAAAGAAAATCCTTAAAAATTACTCAAAATAAAAAAAAAAAGGATAGATGTTAATCTTATAACGTAGAATAAAATTCTCTTAAACCTTACTATAATAAACTCCATAGAGCCTATTATATATCTATATATCTTTATATTTACTAATTTGCATATTTATATAAAACTATCGAATTAACTGTTAAAATTATTTTTTTTTTTTTAATAGTTTGAAATAAAATAAATCAATAAAAATATTAACTAAATAGCAATTTTAGTATGGAAAAAAGAAAATACTATACATAAAAATCCAAAAGTTAAAAATGATTGAATAAATATTTTACATTTTTTGAAAAAATTTTAAAACTGTTTCAAAATATACTTTTAATAAAAATGATTCATACTATTTGAAAAAAAAAAACATTTTGTTCAAGTTAATTCAAATTTATTTAGTTAATTGAAATGAAATCCTAGGATAATTTAAAGTTTTGTTTTTCGCTTTTTACTTTTTTTTTTGGCAAGTTTTAATTCTTATGTAAGCATGAAACAAAAAATAATATATATAAACAAAATGTTTTATTAAAACAAAAAACATTCTCTATTATACTTAAGAATTTAAAAATATAGTCATTCAAAAAAAATCATTGGATCATTAAAAAAAAAAAAAATACATGTAATTTTTGATATAATAAAAAAAAATTAAATGCACAAAGTACACACACCTAATTTTATGTTTTTTGTACATTTTACAATATTAATTATTTACGCACATGCATTTTATGCATATGTAATATATTTTAGTATATAAAAAAGTTATTTGTTTCAATATTTTTTTTATAACAAAAACAAAAAAATAAAAAAAATACATTGATCACTATCAAAAAAAAAAAAAAAAAAAAAAAACCATTTGATTTAACAAAAAAAAAAAAAAAAAAAAAAAAAAAAAAAAAAATTATGAAAGGAAAAAAATTAATACCCATTTTTTTTTTTTTTTTTTTTTATATACACGTGTAAATTTGAACTTTTTTTTTTTTTTTTAAATATAGTATTTAAACAGTATTATTTATTTTATTTTTGCTTACATATAAATAAAATTTTATATATACATATATACATATATATATATATATATATATATATATATATATATATATATATATATAAATATATATAAGTACATATATATATATATATATTTTTTTTTATATTTATTATTTTTTTTTTTATTAATAAACTCATCATATATATATATATATATATGAGTATATATATATATACATAATAATTTCCTTTTTTTTTTAAATTTTAATATATACATAAATTATTTTTACAATATAAATTTTAGTAAATTAATTATTTATAAAGAATTATTAAAAAAAAAATTTTTTATATTATTATTTGTATTAATATATTTAAATTTCTCTTTTTTTTTTTTTTATTGAAATAAATATTTTGTCCTTTTACATCTGTAAAAATGGGTGACGAAGATGTTCAAGCTTTAGTTGTTGATAATGGATCTGGTAATGTAAAAGCTGGAGTTGCAGGAGATGACGCACCTCGTTCTGTTTTTCCAAGTATAGTTGGTAGACCTAAAAATCCAGGAATTATGGTAGGTATGGAAGAAAAAGACGCATTTGTTGGTGATGAAGCACAAACAAAAAGAGGTATATTAACATTGAAATATCCAATAGAACATGGTATTGTAACTAATTGGGATGATATGGAAAAAATATGGCATCATACTTTTTATAATGAATTGAGAGCTGCACCAGAGGAACACCCAGTTTTATTAACAGAAGCTCCATTAAATCCCAAAGGAAATCGTGAAAGAATGACGCAAATTATGTTTGAATCATTTAACGTTCCAGCTATGTATGTAGCTATTCAAGCTGTGTTATCTTTATATTCATCAGGTCGTACAACAGGTATTGTCCTAGATAGTGGTGATGGAGTTTCACACACTGTTCCAATTTATGAAGGTTATGCTTTACCACACGCTATAATGAGATTAGATTTAGCTGGAAGAGATTTAACAGAATATTTAATGAAAATTCTTCATGAAAGAGGTTATGGTTTCTCCACATCTGCAGAAAAAGAAATTGTTAGAGACATTAAAGAGAAATTATGTTATATTGCATTAAATTTTGATGAAGAAATGAAAACATCAGAACAAAGCAGTGATATTGAAAAATCATATGAATTACCTGATGGAAATATTATAACAGTAGGTAATGAGAGATTTAGATGCCCAGAAGCATTATTTCAACCATCATTCTTAGGAAAAGAAGCTGCTGGTATTCATACTACAACATTTAATTCCATTAAAAAATGTGATGTAGATATCCGTAAAGACCTTTATGGAAATATTGTTTTATCTGGAGGTACAACTATGTATGAAGGAATTGGAGAAAGATTAACAAGAGATATTACAACTCTTGCACCTTCAACTATGAAAATTAAAGTTGTTGCACCACCAGAAAGAAAATATTCTGTATGGATAGGAGGATCCATTTTATCATCATTATCAACTTTTCAACAAATGTGGATTACAAAAGAAGAATACGATGAATCTGGACCAAGTATTGTTCACAGAAAATGTTTCTAAATTATTTAAAAGTAAAAAAAAAATAAAAAAAAATAAAAAAAAAAAAAAAAAGATTTTAATATTTATTATAAAAATTAAAAATTTAATGAATCTATCAGAATGAATAAATGGAAATATTATTTTGACATATATTATTTAAACAAAACATAAAAACTTTTCCAAAATAAAACATATTTGTGTATGCATATATATATGTATATATATATATATTTATGGAAATCTTTTTATGGTGTGCATAAATGGATTAAAACGTTAAGGAATATAGAATATTTATTAAAAGCACATTTACTTAAAAAAAAAAAAAATGCAATTCTTTTCCATAATTATATTTTTTCTTAATTTCTAACAATCGGTATATTTGCTATTACCTTTATACACAGTTATATTCGTTATTTTTTTTTTTTTTTTCTTAATTTTTATTATATATTTAATAACTTTTACTTACTGTTTATTTTTTATTTTTTTTTTTTTTACTTGTTGTTACATATATATTTTATTATATTACTATTATAAAAAATTTATTACGTAATTTTAGACATTTTTTATACAATATTTTTTTTTTTTTTTTTTTTTATTTTTTTTATATATATTTAATTATAAAAAAAAATATGTTAAGTTATAAATGTAAATAATTTAATAAGTAATATTAAAAATATAAAATAAGGAAAAAAAAAAAAAAAAACGGATAAATACTTCGTTTTTATATTTTTTTATATGTAAATGTAATATATAAATATATATACATATATATTTTATGATTAAACTAAATATATACAATGTATTGTATATGTGTATTTACTATTTTGAGGAAAACATTTATAACTTAAGAATAAATAGGAAATGCATTTTTATTTCTTTTGTAAGAAGAATAATATAATTATTAAAAAATTATTTACATAACAAACAAAAAAAAAGAAAAATGTATGAATGTTTCATATTATTAGTTTTTTATATTTCTTATTCTACATTTTATTAAACTTTAATGAAATTAAGAAGAAAATATTAAAGAGATTTCAATGTGTTTTCTCAATGTTTTTTTTTTTTTTTTTTATATTCCTTCTCTTTTTAATGAAATTGAATTTTTAAAAGAAAACTAGAAAGCATAATAGGATACGTAAGAATTATTAATTGATGTATATTATACATTTTATATTTCATTAATTTATATTCCATTTTCCATATAATAAGTGGGTTTTAATATTATGTATTTCTTATAAGTTAAAATTGTAGAAATAAATTGTCTAAATTATATATTTTAAATCAAATGAAATATAAGTTAATAATAAAAATAGGTTTTTGAAAAAAAATTTGAATATTAATTTTGATATTTTTAAAGTTATAGAAGATAATAGAGGGGAAAGAGAAAAAAAAAAAAAGTTTCTAATTATCTAAAACAAAAAAAAAAGTTGGACGTAAATAAGATAATATTAATTCATGATAACTGTAATGGGTAATAGTTTATATATTTTTTTTTATAACACAGCGTAAAAATTAAATTATTTTTTTATAAATATTCATAATTATAAATTTATGCAGTTTATTTTATTTTATATAATATTTCATTGTACACAAAAAAAGTAAATGAAAAAGCAAAATATTTTTTATATGCATTATATATATTTGTTAACTTTATTAAAAAGAAAAAATTCAATAGATAAAAAAAATTAAATTTTTTCATATTTTTCTGTTTTTTAAAATAATACAACATGTATATAATTACTTAAAAATATATAAAGGAAAAATATTATAAAACTCAATTTTTTTTTTTTTTTTATTAATATATAAATTTAAAAAAAGTTATTTTTTATATTTTTTCAAGATTATAAAAGGGTTAATTTCTATATGCCAAAACATTTTACAAATGTGTAAAAAATCTGTTAGAAAGTTTTCTAATATATCACATAACAATGGTATTTTATATAAGATAACTAAAACATTTGTTATATCAATTAATATTTTATCACCTATGTTTTTATTTATAATTTTATGGATTTTTTCATTATATTCATTGTTGTAATAATTTAAAATTAATTTATCAATTTCTGATATATCTGAAATATTATTATCTAGCAGTCTTGTTGCAATTTGTTTATATTTATTGTTTTCTTTCATAATGTTTATTCTTAATCTAAATCTATTAGCTATATCTTGAAAAAGAACACTAAAGATATTTTTTGTATCATTTTCATGTAAATATACCGACAATAGCTATATTGAATAAAATAATTTGTAAAGTTAAAAAAATAAAGTATATATATATATATATATGTATATTATAAAAAATAAAATTAATATATAATTAAAAAAAAGGTATTACCTTGTATGCAGAATGTAGCTGCATTCCAAATGGCAAAATGTCGCATTCATAATTTATGGAATTCACTTTCTCATTATTGATTAAATTATCCGAAGAAAGCCAAATATTTGCATAATAATCAAACCTTACTGTCAATATATCAACTATTTTTTCACTTAACTTTTTTTTTAAAAATAATATTTTATCTATTAAATTCTTAAATTTTTCGAAATATATTTCTTGTTTATTATTTTGAAATCGAAAATAAATAGGTAAATATCTATCTCTGTAAAATAATTTTTTAAAAGGTTTTATAAAATCAAGAATAGTTTTTATAGGGTAAGCTTCTGTATCTACTAATAATTCTCCAAGAATACTTAATTTGCTATTTTTATTTGTCTTTTCATTTAAATTTTTGTTAAAAAAAGTTTGTTTAAAACTTTTTTCATTTACTTTGTAATTACTATCAATATAATTGTCCGAATAATTTAATATATTAATTTTTTTTTTTTGTTTTATTTTAATTTTGTAGGATTTTCTCATTTTATTACTTTTGTTATAAGAATTATTTTTTTCTATATTTAATCTTCTAATTTTCTCATTCGTAACATTCATATGATTCACATCAAGAGTGTTTGCATACATATGAACATTTCTATTTTTTTTGTGTGTTTTTAATTTTTCTTTTATTTCTATAGAATGCTTTTTCTGTAATTTTTTTTTTGAATATAAAATTTCTGAAAATTCAGATAACTCTTTTGAAACAAATTTTTTTTTTTTTTTTCTCTTTTTCGCACACATTTGTAATAAATTATAATAAATTGTGAATATATATCTTAAAATAGAGTACATAAAATCAATAGTATTAATAACCAACGCTAAAATTTTTATTGTAATGCTATTAAGAGTGTTACTTGTAACAGCATATCCATTTATTATTAAATGTTGAATATTTTGAAAAAAAAATTCATAAAAAAGCAAAATTTTATTTAAAATTTCATTTGATATAAATGGAAGAGCTATAAGAAAACTTATATACTGAAACAAGGTACATAAAAAAGTTATATTACTATTTGTCATATAATAATATTTATTATTTATATATATTTTATTAATACATTCATTATTTATAAAAAAATATTCTTTTAATTTGATATTTATCTCATTAGGTATATCAACTATTTCCCATTTTTCAATTTCAAATAATTTCTTAATTTGTATATTTTTAAACTCATAAAAATTTTCAATTGATATTAATGCCTCAAGTTTAAAATATTTGGAAATCTTTTTTATAGATTTTTTTTCTATAAAGATATTTATATGATTGATTTTTTCTTTTAGTTTTTTTCTCAATTGTTCTAATTTCTCATTATATAATAAACTATTGCTAATCTGTTTCTTTAAGGAGATTCTATTAATTTTACTATGATGATAATGATTTTCATCTTTATGAGAAGAATTATTATCCTTATTTTTCTTTCCTATATTAATTTTTTTTTTGCAATTACTAATTAAATTAGAAGATTCCCCAAAGTAAACATTTTCACTATAATTCTTTTTGATGTTATTATATTTTTTATCATTTTTATTATATTCAATATTATTATTGTTATAGTTTTTATTTTTGCTTAATAAAACAGTAAACTTATATCTCTTAATAATTTTTTTTTTTTTCCACTTTTTATTGTTTTTACTGATACATTTTAATTTTCTCATAATTCTAAAATAAAATTTTACAAATTTTACTTTTATAAAAAATTTACGTTTTATTAATTCTTCTTTGTTTTGTCTTTTTGTTTTAATTGATTGCAAAAGTAAACAATTGAACTTAATAATTTTATTAGTTCTATTTTTCATGAAATATCTGTTATTATTTTTAATTTTCTTTATCTTAAAAAATTTCTTACTAACATATAAATATTTATAATACAAATAAAAAAATATATCAAAATAGTTTTGAGGTAATTTCTTTCTATTTTTAGTAATAAAAAAAATTATATTAATACTACTCCAAAATAAATGAATAACTTGATTTATACTTAAATGAATTGTATTTTTTTTTCTTTCATTAAAAATGTGTAAAACTTGTTTTAAAAAATAGTTTAAAAAAGTGTGAAATATGTCAATATAATTCCTTAAATATCTGAAGAATATAAATTTGATTTTACTTGTTAGTTTCACATTTTTAAATAAAAAGCAATCGAAAATGAAAAAAATAACATGTTTTTTTACATTATTTATATAATCATTATCAAAAATTATTGAAAATGTCTTAAATATTATGAAACTCATCCATTTTTTTATTTTGCAATATACTAATTTCATTTTATTAAAAAAATTATTTAAAAAAGCTACAAAATATGATATTGGAAAAAAACATATATATTTATGTAAATTATTTGTTATTGATTTTTTAGTATAACTTAATATTAAACGTTTTTTAAATTTTTCTATAATCAGATTATCATAATAAAATTTTATTTTATTTAAATTTGTATTATATTTGGTTACGTCATCCTTATTAATATATTCTCTATTCAAATTGTTATATTTATTTTTGTTTTTTCTTTGTTTTTTTTTATTTTTTTTATCTAATATCTCTTTATTTTTATTATTTAATTTATAATTGTTAGTTAACTGATTCTTATCATTATTTATCTTATCCTCATCATGATTGAATGAACATATTTCAGGAAAGTTATTTATATCACACAACTTATCATTCTGCATAAGTATAATATATTCATTCAATGCATGATAAAATATATCATCCAAAAAATATTTTATATAATTATTATTTAGACAAAAGTGGTCTAAATGATTAAATAATTCATTATATAATAATATTGGTATAATTAACTTATTTATATTGATCGCGCCTTTTTCATATATCCTTCTTTCTTTTCTATAGTCTTTTTGCATTAATGAATAAACGTCTCTTCTCCTATAGTTTTTTGACTTAATTTTTTTTTTATTTCTGTGTATTTTAAAGTATTTTTTTTTTTTAATAAAATGAAATAAAAACCTTTTATTAGATAATTTATGAAGTTTTACAAAATTAAGAATTTTTTTTTCAATATTATATAGATTTATTGTATTATTATTGTTTTTTTTTTTGTTTTTTCTTGTATCTTTAGAACTTTTATGTTTATCTAAAATGTTTGTTTCCTTTTTTCTTAAACTAATTTTATTCTTGCTAAATATAAATAATATAGAATAATACGAAAATTCAAAAACTAAATTTTTAGACACAAAATTTTTCAAATAGCATATGTTAAAATTAGAAAAATAATTTTTAAAAAAATTAAAATTTATAGTATTTTTACAATAATGATGCAATTTAAGAATCCTATTTACAAGAAATAAACATTCGTAAAACTTTTTTGATTGAATATAAAATCTTAATTTTTTCAGTAAATTTTGAAAATATATAAACTTTTTAAAAATACAATTTATTTTTTCACATTTCCTTTTTAGTTCGTTATATTTATTTAAATGAATCAATTTTAAAATTATTTCTCTTATATTATTTGTATGTGTTTTTATGTAATTTACTTCATTGTGTAAACTTTCTATTTCATCTTTTAATTCTTTTAATATAATAATTATATAAAAGTAATCAGGAAACTCATTAGATATTAATAAATTGACATACTTTTCAATATTATCAAGATCTTCATTTAACTGAAAAAGGAAAAATATATTTATATTTTCTTTTGTAAAAATAAATTTTTTTTCATAATGAAATATTTTACACTAAAGCATATATATATGATATATATATATATATATATATCATATATGACATATTAAAGAATTATTTTTTTTATTTTTATACTTGTTCTTGTAGTGTAATAATATTTGATAAATTACATTTTACATCTTCATCAAAAAAAATATTATACTTATATTTAGAATATATTTCCAATTTATCAAAATTTATGTCTACTTCATTCTTAATTTCTTTTTTATATTTTTCTATTCGAATATGTTCATGTGGATTCTTTAACATATCCTCAAAATAATTTAAGTTAATTTCACTTAAATTTTCATTATTTAGATCTTTTATAATATTTATCTAAAAAATAATGAAGACAAAAAGATTATTTATATATTTAAAATATGCTTTAAGGGAGTTAAGCTTTTAATTAAAAGAGGTATGATATGTATTTCTATATATATATATATATATACACTTGAACATTTTTTTTAATTTTATGTTTCTTATATACAAAAGGTATATATGTATATATAAAATATACTAATAAAATTATATATATAGTTTTAAAAGTGTATATAAATATAAAACCTTTGTTATGTATTTTATGTAATAATCAAAGTCTCTAATATCAATTTTCTTTAAAATAGGATATGTCAAGTTTGAATAAATTTGTCTACTATATTTTTCGTTTCCATTTTCTTTTATTTTGTCATTATTTACAACATTAGATATATGAATTAACTTGTAATTTTGCTTAGTTAAGGTATTTTCATTTTCTCCATTTTTGAATGTATATTTATCCATATTTTTTATTTTACATTATCATTTTCCCTTTCATTTTTTTTTTTTTATTAATTTTTTAAAACATGATTCACCATAAAAAATCATACTTTATATTTAAAGTGTTTTTACTTTATGTACAAAATATTTTATTATAAAAAATATAAAACAAAATGTACTATTTTTTTCTATATAAAGAAATAAATATATTCAATATACAATTTAAATTATTTTATCGTACAATTAAGAATATGAATATTTTGGTATAAATTGTAAATCTAATTAAAATACTCGATTTCTTTAAAAAAAAATAGAAAAAAAAAAAAAAGCATATTTTTATACTATTATTATTTATATGTAATTATATATAATTAAATGAACTATCAAAAAAATACATCTGTGCATTTTTAAAATATAAATAAAAAGAAGCTAAATTTACTTTTAATTATCGATTATTTCGATAATTTTTATTAAAAAAATTGTTATATTTATAATTTTAAATTTTCTACACCAATTTTATTCTTTAATGTAATAACCCATTTTAATAAATATTGTAGAATTTCTTTTTGTATTACCTCTTTTTTTATTTTAATTTTAACATTATTTTATTTTCTTTAACTGTTAATAGTAAACAATATATCTTTATATCAAATAAATTGATAACATATATATTGTTCATTATAAAATATTTGATTTTTGTAAATTTTGCTTTTAATTATAAATTATTTTTTGACATTTATGTAAATTCTCTTATTTATTTTTTTTTTTTTTTTACAGTTTTAAATAAAGAGACTTTATTTTTATATATAATTTAAATAAGAAAAATTATATATAATTATTTATGGAAGATTTATGCTTATTTTTGAAATGTAAAATTGGATATTTTTTTGTGTGTAATATATCATGAATTTTTTTTTTTTTTCATTTCCTAATTTTGGTGCACTTAATGTTTTATTTTATTTATTTATTTTTTTCTTTTTTTTTTTTTCATTTTAACTGTATTTTATTGTTTTATTTCTTCAATGTACTTATCTAAAATGTATTAATAAAAAAAAAAAAGAGAAATAGTGAAATTAATAACACTGATGTTTATAATATTAAATAAAAATATTTCACTTTGATTTCAAATTTGTTAAAATATTTGAAAAAATTATATACATAATTAAAACTTTTGAGAAGTATTATTAGGAATAAAATGGCAATATGTAAAAGTAAATATAAAAATTTGGGTACAGAAGATGATAAATTGTTATTCAAAACCTGTACTCATTCCATTGAATATTTTCATACTTATTTTAGAGAATTAAAAGATCATTTATTAACATATAACAAATATGAAGAGTTATACAACTACTGTTGCAACAATTTAACAAATATAAAAAATACACCGATGTCCAGAATGACAACATTAAAAGTGTGCATATATTTCTACATCTATATATTAATAAAAAAAATAATACATATATAAATAAATAAGAAATATATATAATTTTCTTTTTCAAAATATGTTTATAATGTTTATTTTTTTTTTTTTTTTTTTTTGTAATTATGTGAATACTTTATTTTTTTTATTATATTATTCTGAAAAATATACACATATATATTTTACAAATTTAGTGTATTAAAATTTTTACATAGATACACAAGTATAAAATTATTTTTTTATATAAATGGAATATAAAAAAAAAAAAAAAATATATATATCTTCTTTTAAATTAATATTAATAAAATTAAAAAATTTCCATTTTTTTTTTTTTCAGCTAATAAATATAACATTAACACAAAAACCAAAAAACATAAATTACTTAATTAATAAAAGAATAGTTATATATGTATATAAACTTTTAAAAAGAGACAAAGAAGGAGTTAATAAAAAATATATTTCTTATTTTGGTAATATAACAAATGAGGAACGAAATTTATTAGTTACAGAATCAAAACGTTTTTTTCGAGTTATTAAAAACATAAATTTAACAAAAAATTCGAAAGAACAAAAATTTATTAAAAATATAATAAAAAAAATAGAAAATAAAAATATTGTAATACCTGAAAAATATGGAACTTTTAACAGCTTATTACTATACGGTTATATATTAATTTTAATATCTTTCAAATGAATATTAATTATATATCTATCATTTTCAAAATAGAATTTTATATTTCTTCACTTTTTTTTTTTTTTTACTAGAAAAAAAATAAAATAATTTTTAAAATAAGTAAATATATATGTATTCACTTTTGTTTACAACTTTTTAGATTTTGATAATTACAAAAAAGAGATATACGATCTTTTAGAAAATGATTATGAAAATCATCATAAGATAGATCATATATATTCTAATTATATCAAGTAAAAATAAAAATAATATACACATATAAAAGGAGATTTATATATATATATATAGGTATATATTTATTGTATAGGTTATTAGATGAAGTAAAAAAAAAGACAAGAGAATTTTTAGATAATGGAGAATATGAACTATATTGCGATTTTATTAGAGTAAAATATATAAAATGATAATATTTATTTGAATTTTTTTTTTTTTTTTATATTAAGATATATATATATATATATATATATATATATATATATATATATATACATAATTTTAATAGGAAATGCAAGACGAAGAAGAGATAAGCATTAGATATGAATCATACTTACTTTGTTACCAAAATAAGATAGATGAGAAAAAAGAACTTAAAGAGATAAATCAAGATAATATATTATTAGAAGAAGAAATACAAAAAAATTTAAAAAATAAATCTGTAATGAATACAAATTCTTTTGAAAAAATTGATAAAATAAGTACAAGCAATTCAAATTTGAAAAATAAAGGATTCTTTAGTTCTTCTTCAGTCAATTTAACTAAAAAGAATAACAAAGATGAAAATATGTTCAATTCATTACAACCTAATTTCTCTAATAACTTCACAGAATTTGAAATAAATTCAAATGATAAAAATGTTTATTTTAACAATTCCTTGAATAAAGAAAATGAAAAGTATAAGAAGATTCTTATAGAAGAAAAAAATAAAAAAGAAAGAGGAGAAACGTATTGTAAAGATATAACGAATAATAATTTTGTAGAAGATGGAAGGGAATATCAAATTTCAGGAGAGAGAAAAAAGGAGGATATAAATTACACACGAATAAAAAGGGATAACCAAGAAATAAATTTAATAGAAGAAGAAGAAAAAGGAGAGGAAAAAAAAAGAGAAGAAGAAGTAGAAAAAGAAAAAGAAAAAAATAAAAATAAAAATGAAGAGAAAAAGGAAGAAGATAAAGAGGGAGAAATAGATTTTACTAAAGAAGATGAAGAAAAAAATGAACAAAAAATATATTTAACAGAACAGATAGAACAAGAAAGTTTAATCCATAATGAAAATAAAATTAAAAAAAAAGAAATTAAGAAAGACATTGTTGAAGATATTGACATAAAAAACGAAACTAAAACAAAAATTATATCAAATAATAATAGTGAATATGATGAAGAACATAATAAATTGGAAAATAATTATTGTAAAGAAAAAGAAAAAAAAAAAAGTTTTTTTAATGAAAACAAAATTATTTTAGATTTTATAAATAAAGTATATATCAATGATAAGGAGGAAAATAAAACATATCAATCAGGTATATTTCTTACCAAAGTGAATTTTAATTAGAAATAAAATATAAGTTATTTTTAATTCTTAAATAAAATATATATATATATTTTTATATTTAAAACTCTACTATTTTTACGTTGAACAATTTTTTTTTATAGATAATAAAAATTGCTATAAATATAGAAAATGCCTAATAAAAAATAAGGAAGGAGATACATCCTATAGTAATAGTTTTGATACTATTGGAAATGAAATAATAAACGAATTCAATTCTCTGCTAAACAAAGGAAAAAAGGAATATGATAATGTAAATTCTTATAAAAATATTGAATTTAAAAATACAATTAATAGGGGTAATAGTCTTATATGGAATAATCTAATTAGAAAAAGTAATTTTTATAGATTAAAGGAAGATTTTATAAATTATAATAAATTTTTAATGGAGAAAGAAAAAGAAACAAAAATAAAAACTCTTGGAGATTTATTAGGAATGAATAAATACATTTATTTAAAAAAAAAAAAACATAAAAAAAATACAAATGAAATGATGAATCTAAGTGACTTAAATAATCTTATTAAAAAATGTACAAAACATATTAATGTAGAAAAAACATTAGGAAATTATGGAGAACCTGAAATTAAATCTTGCAATATAAATACGGAATTTAAAATGAAAGAAAATACAGAAAAAAATAAAGAAGATAAAAAAATAATGACAGAATTGAAGAATGAAGATACTTCTACAACTTTTTTTAACAAATACTTTACTATATATGACAATATACGCAATATACAGAAAACTATTTTAAAAGATAATTCCTTACTGTATAATGACAATAATATAGAGGTATAATTATTAATAATAATTATATAAAGAAATATTTTATATTATAAAAATGTTGTATCAATAATTACTTTTATTTTTTTAAAATTTTAGGTACATCTAGAACAACATTATTTTGGTGATAAAGGTCTGATAAAATTTTATTTGAAAAACAAAAAATTAGTTAATTTTTACGATGTCGACATACAAATTTCTAATAAAATGTTATTCCCTTTAAAATTTAAATTTCTTAATTACGAAAAAATGTTATGTTTTAACACAACAAATTGCTATGTAATGAAAAAAATTAAAAATATAACTATTTAAACTATAATCTTCCATATAAGCTTATATATTTTTTTTCATTTATTATGATAAAAAAACTAAATATACTCTTGAAAATTTTAATATTTTAAATTATTTTTTTATTAGGAAATAGCAGTAAAGTGCTTACATATATACAAAGGATTTCCATTAATAAAAATTTCCTTTAGGTAATAAAATAAAAAAATAGTATACAAATATGAAAAAAAAGTAAATTAATTATTTATATTTTTAAGTAATATATGCATATATATTTATATATCAAAGTTAATGTAATTGAGTAGTAGCATTATGAATATAAATTTTTTGTCTTAAGTAAATACTTGTATATTTAAATGTTCTAGCAGAATTAATGCACTTTCATAACAATCATTTTACTGTTTTTTTTTTAATATTTTTTAATTCTTAGTTTTTTTTTTTTTTTTTTTTTTTTTTTTTTGCCTTATAAATATCTATCTTTAAAATAAAATATATTTTATAAATCCATATTTTTAATTATAGAATGCAAGATATGTTTAAAAAAAGTATTGATTTAAGATTTCCTATATCAATCAACAAATTTATGAAGAAAATGAAAATTACAAAAGATGTTTTTAATAAGTTTTGGGATAATGAAAAATTTAATCTATATAAAAAAGAGAAAATTATTTTTAAGAAAGATATTATAGACAAGGAATTCATTGTTAAAAATTTTTGTTTGGTACTTTTTGCATTTTTTTTATAAAAAAAGTTTAACATTTAATTAAAATTTTTTAAAAATTAAAAAAGAAAAAATATAATTATTATTTATATATATATATATATATCACATTTTAATATTCATAGTTTAATAATACAATTATTTAAATATATTTATCTATTTTTAGAATGATGCATTAGGTGTATGTTATATTGAAGATAAAATTTATTTTTGTGGTTGCTATTCTCAGAATTCAGATATAATGGAAAATTATTTTGTTCTAGTAGCAGTAGAAGAATTAAAAAAAAAAAAATTAAAGATTACATGTAAATCAAATAATCCTACATTATCATCAGCTATTTTATTTTTGATGATATTATTATATAGGAATCATGAAAAAAAATAATAAACTAACTATATAATTTTGAAAATAATAATGTTATATTTATTATTTCTGTTATCTATAGTATACTATGTTATTATTATTAATTTTTTAAATTAGTCTTTAATTATAATAAATACAAAAGAAACCTTTATTTCTTTTAATTTATTACACAACTCTTTACCATAAATTGAAACTGTTTTTTATTTCTTAAATTTCATCTTTAAATTTATTTTTTATTGTTTTTTTTTTAATTTTTTTTTTTATTAAAACGTGCTTTTTATAATTCTTGTTTGATAAATATATATTTTTAAGAAGATATATTTTTTTTCTTTTCTTAACATTTTTTTTATATTTCCGATTTTATTAATAATTTTATGTTAAGTATGAATTTAAATATGTCCAATTTATTAAAACAAATATGTCTAAAATAGAATTGTCTTTTTTTTTTTTTTTTAATATATTTTTTTCTATTTATTTTTTTGTGACTAAAATGTTTATTTTTGAATATAAGTTTATTTATAAAATATTTGTTTATTTTTTGTTTCCTGTCATTATTTTTATATGAAGTAATTCTTAATTTAGAAAAATGTTTATTTATAGAATTTGTCAAATTCTTATTATTCTGATATACATTTATTATAATTTTGAAAAATAATAAAGATATTACGTAATGATTCTTCCCTATATCTTTTAAGTAACATTAATATTTTTTTTCATATTTTATTTATAAATATTTATTCTTTATCTCACAGTAAATGTAAAGAAAATTATTATAAATTATAATTTAAAAGAGAAATATAAAAATTTATTCAAGGCATTAAATGAATTTTAACAAAAATCGTAAATTTTCTGGATTGTATTCAATAATACTGCTTAATTAACTCATTTCATAATTTTTATAGTACTATAAAAGTTTTTATTTTTTAAATAATCTTTTTATATAATAATGAAATATTATATTTTCATATAAATGGTAGCTTATATAATGTTGTACTTAAGGGAAAATGGAATAAATAATATAATTCCTATTTGATTAGTATTTTTTTTCTTTTCATATTTTTTAAATATTTGAAGTTCGTAAGTTAGGAAACTCTTCCAGAATCTTGAAAAGAAAAAAAAATATCTCCTAAAATATGATATGATTATTAAAATTTTCAGAACACAAATGTGTAAAAAGGATGCACACATCTATAAAAATAGACGATAATTTTTCAAAACTAAATAAATTTACTTTCTTTATGTTGATGATGTTGAAAATTTCTAATTTTTTACAATTTTTATGCATTTATGTGCGTAAATATATATATAAAGATAAATATAAATATAAATCTTATATTAGCGATAAATTTGAAATCTTGGGATTTAGTTTATTCAAGAAATTATCGTAAAAAAAATTTAGTAGTGCATAGACTTAAAGGTGTATAAAAAATTTTTTTAAACTACAAATCTTTTTAAAATTAAATAAATTCACGGTGAACATAAATAATATGCCTTATTTTTAATTAATTTCTACTTATCTTTTTTTTTTTTTTTTTTTATTATGTTAATATTGTCATAAAATTATGTTTAATTAAATAATGTATAATACGATAAGAAAAAATAAAGTTAGCATTAAGAAAAAGAAAATATATTTTGATTCTATATTAATCAGGAAAAAAAAAAAACTAATACGTGCATTTATTATATTTTTAGCTTTTTTTCTTTACTATGTAGAAGATATAATACATTACCTTACAACATTTTCCTTTCAAAAAAAGATGTGAATATTTTTACCTTACAAATATTTACAGTTAATTTCACTTTTTTTATTATTTATTTTATTCTTTTTTTTTTCATTTTTATTATAAGCACACCTTTGTTATTAAGGTGAAAAAAAAAAAAAAAAAAAAAGGCTTGCGTTTTTGCACACACACTATTAGATAATAGCTTTAAATAAAAATATGAACAATTAAAGATAAAAAAAAAAACATATATATATACTTATATATAAATAGGCAATTTTTTTTTTTTTGATTTTATATAGTCTCCAATGTTGTGTATAGCTATAAAAAATAAATTAAATTTTAATTAAAAAAAAGAAACTTTTTTTTTTTTTTGTAAATTAAAATATTGTGTAAAATTAAGTTTATTTTTTTTTAAATTTTATAAATCTTTAAAAATTTTGTTTAATTTTAATTATATATATCTTGTAAAGGTATATTTAAATCACTTAATTTCAATTATTCATTTATTTTATTTTGGTATTATTTAGCTTTATTGGCATATTTCAATTTTTGTTTTTTTACCAATATTAAATATTATTATTTTATTTTTTTTTTTAAATAAGCTACAAAAATGGAAAAAAATTGCCCAGTATGTTATTTTAATTTACCAGATCCTGAATCAACATTAGCTCCATATGATACTGAGTTAAACTATTTTATGTGGGGACCAGGATTTGAATGGCAACCAGAACCTCAAGAAAAAGCTTCATCAGTTGAAGAAACTTATGAAGAATCTGAAGAATCAGATGCAGATTTAGAAAATTTAGATGAAAAAGTAGATAAAAACGATGCGAAAACATTCTTTAATGAGAAAAGTAAAAATGGAAAAATATCTGTAGAAAATGCCTCTGTGAATGCTAGAAAATTAGGTTTAGCTCCATCAAGTACAGATGAGGAAAAAATTAAAGAAAAATATGGAGATAATTTAACTTATGATCAATATTTAGAGTATTTATCATTATGTATCCATGATAGGGATAATACTGAAGAACTTGTTAAAATGTTTGCTCATTTTGATATTAATGCAACAGGCTATTTAAGTAAAAAACAAATGAAAAATATTTTAACAACATGGGGTGATGCTTTAACTGAAGAAGAAGCAACTGATGCTCTCAATGCCTTTTCAAAGGAAGATAAAATTGATTATAAATTGTTCTGTGAGGAAATTTTGCAATAAGGGATATTTTATTTTTTCCTTAATACACTATAAATATTATGAAATTTATCTACTTATTTTTTAATATATTATTTCGCGATTATTTTATTTCATTTTATGTTAGTCGAATAAACTTTACATATGTATATATATACTTCATTTTTGCATTAATATTTAATTTACTTTTTTACTTGTAATTCCTCTTGTTATTTGTCTCTATTTTTTTATATTTTTTGTTTGTCTTTTTTTATGATAATTTCTTTTAAATACAAATATTAAGATATTTATTTTATAATAAATAAATGATAACTTTATAATTACTTAATTTGATAATTTTTTCTTTTTTTTTAGCTTTTTATAAAAAAAAAAATTAAATATAATTATATATTTTTATTTTACGATTTTTACAATATTACTTATTCTATATTTATATACACATAAAAAAAAAAAAAAAAAAAAAGAAAAAGTTAACTTGCAACTTTTAAAGTTACATAAAAAATAATAAAATTGCATTATTTTTATAGCATTTTTTATTATTTACATATAAACAAAAAAAACTGGTAAGATGAATTTACATAACATTTTAAAATAAAGTCTTTTTTTCTTAATAAGTATACAAACAAGGATTTTGAAGAAAAATAAAAAGGAAAAGAAAAAATTAAATTATTAAGAAACTAGAACATTAATATACTTTTGGTATTTACAAAAGAATTTTAAAAAGGAAAATCACTGAAACATAAAATAAAAAAAAAATTGTTTGTATTAAAAAAAAATAGATAAATCAAAATAAATGCGCATAAAATATTTTAAGGTTAAAGCAACAGAAATTTATAAAATGAAAAAAAAAAATTGAAACATATTTTTAAATATGTTTATCATTATATAAAATTTTTCATAAATGACATATATATATATATATATATTTTCTTTCTGGAAAAATTGTTTCAGTATGTTAATTGTAAAATAAACCAATAAAAATCAGAAAATAGATAAAGAGATAAATTAACAGGATTATCAGGTGAAGAACGTCCTTGTCCAACAATTTTAACAGTTTTATTGGTATTAATAAAAGATTTATTAATTATATTGATATAATCCTGATAAGAGCATAATTTTGTGGTAAAGATAATTAGTAGTAACCCGTTTGGTGTAACATAATTTTGCGCTAAATTAATTAAATTAATATATCTCATGGAACCAGATTCAATGAATTGCGACTTAGGAATTAAATTAGGTGGATCTAAAATGATTATGTCAAATAATTGATTACAATTTTTAAGGAAACTTAAAGAGTCAGAACATATAAAATCTATATTATTTACATTATTTAAATTAGCTGACTTTTTAGCTAGATGTACAAAATTTTTATCTTTTTCAACACATACAACTTTTTTTGCTTTCCCTATTTTTGAACATTGGATTCCAAAGGATCCAACATATGAGAAAAGATCCAAAACATTTTTTTGATAAGAATAGTGGCATATGTAATTTCTTAAATTTTTTCTATTAAAAAACCATCCCGTATTTGGAGAATTAATTAAATCTATAAAAAAAGAGCAGTTATTTTCAATCATTGTTACTTTATCTGGTACTTTTCCATAAATAACTTTTTTATATATTTCTAGTTTCTCATTTAATCTTTCTTTATTATCATTTCGGAATATTATACCTTTTGGTTTTAACAATTCAATAATAGCATCATTAATATTGCAAGCTAACATTTCACACCCAAGTGTTAAATGTTGTACACTAATATATTCATCATATCGATCAATTATTAAACCTGGAATATTATCACCTTCACTATTTATTAAACGATAACAATAACTACTATTTAATATTGGATATTCATGGATATTTTCGTTAGCATTATTATTATCATCACTAGCAGTAGAAATAGTTGAGTTAGTATTTAACATAACATTATGATTAGTAGAACTGATAATATTATCTGTTTCATTTTTCGAAATTTTATTTCTCCAAAGCAAAGAGTTTTTTATTTTTTCTATAAAAAAATTTATATTTATTGAAAACATAGAATTCTGATTTATTATTCTTGCACTAATTAATGAGTAAGGATTAAAAGTTGCAACACCAAAAGATTCATCATTCATATTTTTTACATTAACAAGAGTAAGAGGATTTTTTTTTAATTCTTCTAAATTTTTAACTTCGTTACTATAAACAAAAGGAATATTTCTTTTTAACCTTTTATCATGAATATTATTATCTTCTGAATCTTTTAAGTATAAATCAGGTCTTGAATTTACATTATCTATATATTGTTCGTAATGATATTTATATAGTTCTTCTCTAAATTTTATGTTTTTTTCAAATTTAGATTTATTTTTTTTGAAACATGATACATTTTCTTCAAATTTAATGTTAGAAAATAGTCTATATTTTAAATTTTTCCATTTTTTTGTTGATTTTATTATTAACATCTTATATTTCATATGTGTAAACTAAGTAACATTATATCACTTGTATTGTCCTTCAATAAAATATAAAATGATTTATACTCCAGCGGTACTCTATGGTTTTTTTTTTTTTTTTTTATTTTAATTCCTCAATTACTTTCTAAATTATGATTTGTTTTTATCATTTATATCTGATTTTAATTAATATTTTTAAATAAATAAAATTTTATTATATATTATTCTTTATTTTATTTTTTTTAAATTAATGTGCGATTATATTTTAAAGAATTTTCCTTTCAAGAAAACACAAGTCTTTATAAATGGTGAATTTTTTTTCAATAACATTTTCTATAAATATAAAAAGTATTTTTTTTTTTCTTTTTATTCAAATTTTTTAATAATACATATATTTGAGAATTAATAATTTTATATATTTGTTTTTATCTTTTTTGTAAAAAGATAAAAAAATTTAAGAAATTAAATAGAACATATAAAATTTATTTTTCTTTATGAAAATAGAAAATTTTACCAAGTCAAATATGTCATAATCTTCAATAAAAATAGTGAGAATTGAAAAAAATAATAATAAAAAAAAAGAAAAATTCATAGTAAAACAAAAAAAAAAAAAAAAAAATAGTTTTTTTAATTTTACTTTTTATAGAATTTTTTAAAAAATTTTATTATATACAATTTAGATAAATTCAACTATATAAAAACATAATTATTTTGTTAAAAATTTATTTTAAGAAAATAAGAGTGAAAGCGGAAAAAAAAAAAAAAAAAAGAAATATTAATAGGATAAAATAAAATAGGAAGAAAAGAAAAAAAACAAAATATAAAGTAACAATGATTAAAAAGAATTAAATGGAATATACTTAAAAAAAAATAAACAAGTAAATTTAAAAGGAAACAAAGCATAAATCAAATATAATAATATAAATAAAAACAATTTAAAAAAAGAATATTAAAAGATAAAAAGAAAAAAAAAAACATAGGATAACATAAGTTATTGCAATTGAAAATGTTAGAGATATATTAAAAATTATTAAAAAATATAAAGTATATTATCTAAAAAAATATTTTTACAAGTCTTAATTAGTATATATAAACATATAACAATATACTTATTTTTTTATTTAAAAAAAATGCGATGGAATAAAAAATTGTCAATTTTTTTTTAATTATCATAAAAAAGTACTTTAAAAATGAATGAATATTTAATAAAAAAGTATTTGAAAACATCAAAAAAGAAAAATAGACGGGGGAAGAAAAGTAATATACAAATTTACGACAGTGAAGAGGAAACTAATAAAAATATTTTTCGAAATAATATTAATAAAGACGATGATGAGAAATTTGAATTTACAGAATCAGATAGAAGCTCTGAGATACCAATTACTGTTACAGAAAACAATACTATGGAAATATTGCAATTATCAAATGAAAACAAGAAAAAAATTTTAGAATCTTTAAGCAATAATCTTGTGATAGGTTCATGTGAAGCAAAAAATGAAATAAATAAAGAAAAAGGATATTATTTAAAAAATATAAGCAAAAAAAAAGAAAAAAAGAATGAGAATAATACATTAAAAGATTATGATTCTTATAATAAAAATAAAGAATCTAATAATAATAATACTAATAAAAATTTAAATAGGCATTTTAAGGATAAAAGTATGAGATATGTTGAGAGTAAAGAAGATTCTAATTTATTATCTCTAAGAAAAAAGAAAGATATAAGTGAAAGTGATTCTGACTTATCTGTTCCTAGAAAAAAGAAATATAGAAATGAAAGTGACTCTGACTTATCTCTTCCAAGAAAAAAGAAAGATAGAAGTGAAAGTGAATCTGATTTATCTATTCCTAGAAGAAAGAAAGATAGAAGTGAAAGTGAATCTGACTTATCTCTTCCTAGAAAAAAGAAAGATAGAAGTGAAAGTGATTCTGATTTATCATATAGAAGAAATACTAAATATATTAAAAATGAAGAAGATACATTAGTTAATATAAAAAACGAAAAAAATCATGAAAAAAAATCAGAATCAGAATACGCAGATTCATATATATCATTGGCATTATCTTCTGAAATGAAAAATAAGGAATTACAATTTTCTGATTCCAAAAATTTTGAAAATGAAGGAGTTAATTCTACCATCTATAGAGATAAAGATGGTAAAATTATTACAAGAGAGAAATGGATTAATGAACAAAGAAGTGAAATGAAAGATAAATTTGAAAAAAATAAAAAAATGAGGGAAAAAAAAAAAAGAGACAATAATAATATAAAATTAGAGTGGGGAAGTGGTCTAGTTCAAAAAGAAATTAGAAAAAAAAATATCGAGGAAAATGAAAAGTTAATAAATAAAGGGAACATAATAAATTATGATTATGATTCTGATTATGAATTAGAATTAAAAAAGAAAAAAAGAAAAGAAGATCCTATGAATATATATTTAGATAACAAAAAAGAAAATCAAAAACCAACTTGTAGGTATCAAACTCCTTACAATAGATTTAATATTTTAGCAGGATATAGATGGGATGGTGTAATAAGAGGAAATGGGTTTGAACAAAGAAGATTAGAAGCATTAGAATTAAAACGACAACAAAATAAATTAACATATATGAATAATACATCTGATCTTTGAAAAAAATTATTATGGTCAAAAATTTTAATATAATTTTACTGTTTTGTTTTTTTATGTTTTTTTTTTTTTTTTTTTCCTTTTCCTTTTCCTTTTCCTTTTCCTTTTCCTTTTCTTTTTCTTTTTTTTCTTTGTTTTTTCGTTTTTTTTGAATAGAAACTAAATAATAAAAGATATTGAAACCGGTAAGCTTTATGACAAAAAAAAAAAGTAATATTTATATAAACGTACATATATATATTTATATTTTATAAATTTTTTTTTTTTTTTTTATTAAGAAAAATACTTTATTAGCTTTTTATATTTTTAATTTTTTACCTTATATTTTGTAATATTATTTAAGTTACATGTAAAAAATATTCATATGCAAATATATTTATATTAAAACGTTTAAAAAAATTGCACATATTTTAATAAATAATATATAATATATAATATATAAACATATTATCAAATTTTTATTTAATTTCTTTTTATTTTACAAATTAGCTTTTTAGAGAAAATTATGTTTATGTAAAAATATAATGTAAAATATATATAGATATGCTGATTATTAAATACAATGAATAATTTATATAAAAGATTTTTTTTTCATTCAAAAATATTAAATAAATATATTTTATATGAAGGGAATGCTATAACAAAGCATAATTACATATATATGAAAAGGAGGGGCTTTTTTTTTAAAACACAAAAAAACAATATAATAAAAAATGAAATTGAAGAAATTTTAAAGAATGAAAATGCAGTATCTATGGAAGAAATGAAAAAAAGTTTAAATATAAAAGACGATGAAGAAGAAGAAAAAAAAAAAAAGTACGAGGAAGAAAGAAAAAAAAAATTTATACATAAAAAAGGAAAATTCAAAAGATTGATTATATTTATAGGATTTCAAAGTGTTCCAATAATTTGTTTAATGTATTTATTTAAATATTTAGAAGATGCAAAATTATCGGAATTAAATTATTCTTTTAATTCATCAGAAGATATAATTAATGAAACTCTAAAATTAATTGAAGGATCTTCTAAATGTTTTTGTTTGTATTTTAATAATAATCAAATTAATACATTTTATATTGAACCCCTTAACCCAGAAGAATCAGAAGTAAATTATGGAAATGAATTAGAACATGAAAATAATTATTCCAATAAAGGAAATCAAAATAACATAATCAATGTTCATGAAAAAGAAAAAAGAGCTCTTAATGAAAAAAATGAAGAAAATATTAAAGATTTTCTGTATTCTTTGAATAAACCATTAATGCAAAAAGTCATGAGATCAAAAAGTTCGGTTGGATTGCCTTTAAATTATTTATATTTTAGTACTTCAAAAAACTCAGATATACATAATTTTTTAAAAACAAAAAAAAGTGATATCACATTATTATATTCAGATGATAAAAAAAATGTTTATGCCACATTATATGGAAATGCTTCAATAATAGAAAGTGAAGAAATCAAGAATGTTGTATGGAATGATAAATGGTCTTATATTATATCTGATAATTATAAAGAAAATTATATTTTAATTAAATTTACTCCGTCAACAGTATCATTAAAAACTATAGGTTTAAAAGATGATCATTGGAAAAATAATATTGTTAAAAAATCAATTATTAATGATAATATATCTTGGGTGAAAATATAATATTTTTAAATATCTATCATTTATTATATATATATATTTTTTTTTTATTTTTAAAGTGGTAATTTAACCTAATCTCCTTAATTTGTTATTGTTTTTTTACTAATTTTTAATTTTAAATAAAACTTTTTAAATAAAAGAAAAAAAACATTTTTTATATTATAATTATTCTTAAACTATAAAACTAAAATAAAACATTAAATGTTCTTTTTTTTAACTTTTTTTTTTTTATTTTTTTTTTTTAATAATAATAATCTAATACTAATGTAATAAGATAAATAACTTGTAAAAAAAAATAGCGTTTTTAATTTTTTTTTTTTTTTTTTTTCTAATCATAAAGGAATAATAGAGCCTTATATTTTAGAATTGAAAATGTAAAGAAATATATATACAAATATATATATATATATATAAATATATTATTTTTGTTCTTCTAGCAATCTAAAAAAAAATATTTCATAGATTATTAACTTTTCCTATACTTATAAAATAATGTGATTCATTTTATCTTATAATAGAGAGGATATACTAATTTTTATTTTATAGAAATTACAAAGAATAATTAATAAGAAGATATAACATCTATAAAAAATGTAAAATACAAAAACTTCATTTTTTTTTTTTTTTTTTTTTTTTTTTTTTAATAAATAACATTACTAATAGTTTTGAAATAAAATATTATAACTTATTTTATTTTTTTTATTCTTTATATTTGCATTTTAAGAAAAAAAAGAAATGTATGTATAAACAGAAAAGTATAGATTAATTTATGGAATAATAAAACATTTTTAAAAATTCGTAATTTAAAAAAAAAAAAAGGAAAAATTAATACAAGTTATTTAGAAGAACAAAAAAAAAAAAAAAAATTTAATAAATTATTTACAAAAAAATATATATATTCATGTAAAGATTTAAATATATAAAATGGATATTTTATTAAAAATATTAAAGAGTATAATTTTAAAGTTAAAAATATATTATGCAAAATATGGGATAGATTTAAACGAATTTCACAATTTGCTTTTTATAATTACTTTACTATTTGGATTAGTTTTCTTGTTTTATCTTATTTTTATAATATTCAGTATATTTAAAAAAAGGAAAAAAATAAAACAAGAAATAGTATTATTATTAGGACCATGTGATAGTGGTAAAACAACATTTTTGTTCAAATTAAAAACAAATAAAATATGTAGAACAATTACTTCGATGAAAGAAAATAAAGCATTTATTTTTTTAAAAAATAAAAAAAAACAAAAATGTATACAATTTGTTGATTTTCCTGGACATCCTAAATTATCTCATTCATTAAATAAATATTTTGATTTTACAAAAATTATTATTTATATTTTAGATAGCTCAGATAAACAATCATTGAAAATTGTAGCAGAGTAATATTAAAAAAAAATTATAATAAAATAACTACTCTTAAATAATTAAAACTCTAATTTTGTTCTATAAATTAAAAAATAAATAAAATAAATAAAATAATTAGATAAAAAAAAACAAATTGAATATTGTATTTTTATATTATATATTCATTTATATATATTAAGAAAAAAAATAAGTTAAAGATGATATAAATATATTTTGATATAGAATGTTAGAAGTTTTTATTTTTAGTTTTTTATTACATTTTGTTTATATAAATTCTTTTTATTTTATTAGGAAATTATACGAATTATTTACTAATAAAATTATTGTTCAAAAGAAAATTCCTTTTATTATCGTTTGTAATAAAACTGACTTGTGCAATTCACGTCCAAAACAAGTTATCAAAGAAGATTTAGAAAGAGAAATGTAAATATAAAAAAATAAAATATTTATATATATTTATATGATTTTGTAAACTTATATATTTATTAACAAATTTTTTTTTTTTTTTTTAGTGAAATTTTAAAAATGTCTAAATATAATTCACTTGAAGAAGATGATAATGATGAAACAGAACATTTTTTAGGAAGTAATTCAGAATTCTTTAGATTCGAAAAAGCCCCTTGTCATATAGTAAAAAAAAAAAAAAAAAAAAAAAAAAAAAAAAAAATATTAAATATATATAAATATATATAAATATATATACATTTATAATTTTTAGGAAATATGTAGTGCTTCAATAAAAAATGATTATGTAGAAGAAATAATAGAGTTTATAGAAAAACATGTTTAAATTTCACATTTTTACAATTTTAAATTCTTTTTTTTTTTTTTTTTTTTTATTAATTTATTGTCTAAACTCATTTAATGTATAAAAACAATTGTTTTTTTTATTTAAATGCTTTTTAAATTTATTTTTGAAAATAAAGAATATATGTTTTTTGTTAATTTTTCATTTTTTATTCATTTAAAATTTATTAAATTAACGTTTTTATTTAAAAAAAAATAAAGATTTTTTTTTTTAAACTTATTAAAAATTATATTTTTAAAAAAAAATATATAGATGTAATATATTTTTAATGTTATATTACCATTTTTAATATTATATATATGTGTAATTACATATTTATATATAAGATAATAATTCCACAAAAATTTAATTTAAAAGTTAAATTTTATTAATTATGGTGTACATATACATATAGATAAGTTCAATAATTATGATAAATATTTAAAGATGATAAGGAAAAAAATATATATAATAAAAGTTAATTGCATATATATATATGTAGTATAAATTATAAAAGTATAAAAAATTAGATAAAGAAGAGTTACTAAGAATATGTAAAATACTACTTTGTTCACTTATAAAAAAGAAATAATATATAATTAATACAATCATAAGACAAATAAAAATGTGTTTATATGTATGAAGGTTATTATTATTTAAAAGAAAAAATTTTAATTTATTATACTTCTATATTTGATGATTTACAAAAAAAAAGAGAAACTAGATAAAACAATTATAAAACAAAACAAAATTAAATACAGAAAAATTTGTAAAACAAAATAAATTATTCTCGTGATTCATAATAACATAAAAATGAATAAAAGTATAATATTAAATATTAAAAACAACAAAAAAAAATAAAAATAAAATGATAAAACTAATAAAAATTAAAGTAAATGGAAATAAATATTATATATTCTTTGAAAGCATAAAAGAGGAAATAACATTTTAAATATATAAGTAAATATGTCTGTAAATTTATATATCATTCATACTAAAATAATAATAATGAATGAATAAAACTACGAATATATTTCAGTAAAAAAAAAAAAAAAATACATGTATATATATATATATTATTTAATTAAGAAATATTACAACAATAATTCTATTTTGTCTTTGGTATTACACAAACTAGCTATTATTATTTTATTTTATTTTTGTATTATTCATAATTATTGTAGTTAAAATCTTTAATTATATTATTTTTTTGTGAACTTGAAGTTGGATTGCTATCAAATTGGTCTGAGTACCTCAATGGCATACATAAAAATTCTTTATCAAAATTTTGTAAATCTATTTGATTAAATAAATGAGGTTTAAAAGGAGGTTTAACTTTTTTGTTTAATACATCATCCCAATTAACGCTTTTAAAAAAAGGGTGTTTTTTTATCTCTTCTGCATCAGTAATTCCTGAACCTAATCTTTTATTAGGATTTTTTTCAAATAATTTTTTTAATAAATCAACAGCTACAGGAGATATATTTTTAGGATATGTTAAATTCTCATATTTAATTCTCTCAAATAAAATATTTCTATTAGAGCTATTAAAAGGTAAATTCCCAGTTAACATTTCATAAATCATTATACCTAAACTCCACCAATCAACTGCTTTTCCGTGTCCTCTTTGTTCTATAATTTCCGGTGCTAAATATTCAGGAGTTCCACATAAAGATTTTGCTGAATTATTATCTGTAACTCCTTCTTTTGATAAACCAAAGTCAGTTAGTCTTATATGTCCAAGTTCATCTAACAAAACATTTTCTGGTTTTAAATCTCTATATATAATATTTAAGTTATGTAAATATTGTAAAGCTAAAATAATTTCAGAAGAATAAAATTTAGCCACTTCTTCAGAAAATTCTCTTAATTTTGATAAATGAAAAAATAATTCTCCACCAGGACAATATTCTAAAATGAAATATAACTTTTTAGATGTTTGAAAAGCATAATATAATTTTACTATAAATGGATGAGAAACACATTTTAGTACGTTTCTTTCTATTTTTGTATGTTCTAGTTGATTTTTTGATATTATATTTTCTTTTCTCAAGATTTTCATTGCAAATAATTTATTATTCTGAGCATGCTTTACTAATAATACTTTACCATATGATCCTTTCCCTATAACCTTTAAAAATACAAAACTCTCTGGTTTCATTCTTTTTTTTTTTTCATTAGTTAATGAAACTGATTTCCTTAATCTCCTTTTTCTTAATTCTTCATCTTCATCATGCTTATATAAACATTCATCATTTATTATTAATTTATTATTTCTATTCAAGGTGCAGTTAGCCATATTATCTTTATAATATATTTTTTCCTTTATGTTTTCATTTTTGCCTTTTTTATCATAATTATATTTTTCATTTATTTTAGAAATATTATCATTTCTGCAAAAAAAAAAAAAAAAAAAAGAGGATATATTTATATAATGTTTATTCCTTTTTTGGATTATATAAAATTATATAATGAAATTATCTTAAATGTAATTTTTTATTTTATTTATTTTTTTTTATGAAGTATATATAAATATACATTTCTATATATATATAACCTTTCGTAGATATTATCAAATGCGTCTAATTTTTTTTTTGAATTATTTATAAAGTTCCAATAACTAATTTTATGATTTTTCTTAAATGAAAAATTCATATTTTTCTTTTTATTTCTGTTGATTATATATTTTTTATTTAATTTCTCTTCTTCATCAGATAAACTTTTACTACATATTAACATATTATTATAAAAAAAATGCTTATTTACCTTATATTTATCTAAATTGTTTAACTCATTCCCTTTTTTAACATATATATTATACATATTATAGTTTTCTTTTGTATCATTTAAACTGTCTTCATCTAATTTATTTTTTATATCATTTATTTGACTGTTCATATTTTCTTTTAAAACATCTTCTCTCTTTTCATTTTTATAATTGTTTTTTTTCAAAAAAAGTATTTTATACAATTTTCCTTTTTTATTTTTATACTCTTTAATTTTTAATAATTTAGTTCCTTCAATGCTACTACTTCTAGTAGAGTAAATATTACCATGTTTTAAAATAGGATCAACTTGCTTTGATTTTTCGCTATAATAAGTTTTAATTATATTTGTATTATTATCGCTATTTTTATCATATGTTAAAAGTTTTTCTTGAAAAGTATTAGCAGTAGACTCGTTAAAAATCTTATTATCATTGTTCTGTTCATTAATCTTATCTTTTTTTTTTTCCTTTTTTTTTTTTTTTGTAATTATAAAATTAAAATATTTTTTGAAGTCATTTTTTTGTAATGGTATTGAACAAGATTCATCTGATGGAATATTATTTTTTTGTCTATTTTTTTCGGAGAAATATTTAAAAAAATTTATGTGATTCATATTTTTAAATTTATATATATATGAATATATATATATATATATTTTTGAAATATGTTAATAAATAGAAAAAAAAAAAAAAATAAAATAAAATAAATTTACCTTTGAAACATATTAAAATGGAAATTAAATATTTTATTTTGTAAAAATAAATAAAAAATAAATAAATAAAATAAAATAAAGATAAGATGGATCACATTGAAACTTTATTTGTTAATTTTTTTTTTTTATGTAGAACAGTTAACTTCAACTGAATTACGAAAATAAAATAAAGTTAAATTTAAAATAAACTAGTGGTAACAATTTTCCTAAAAATAGTTCTAAACAAAAACGATTGCGTAACATTTCTAAACATTCATTTTGCACATGGAAAGAAAAAAAGAATTAAAAAAAATAAACCATTTAATAAATAAATAATTAGAACAGTTTGGTGTATATACTTTGCTAAAAAAATTATAAAAAAAAAAAAAAAAAAAAAAACAAATAAATATATTAAAATACACTTTTATCTTTATTTTTAATTTTTCTTCTAAACCTTAAAAAACTTTACAAAAACTGGATACATTAATAAAATATTATAAAGTTTATTTTTCCTTTTTCCTTTTTCTTTTTTTTAAACATTTAAATGTAAAACATGCTAAAAATTTTAATTTATGCTTTTAATATATGATTATTTAGATCATTTTTATTTAATTATATGTTTTTTTTAATATAGATTCATATGAATTCACATTGTGCCAAAGGGAAAAATAAAAAAAAATTATTTTTAATCTTATGTAAAATTTAAATAAATTTTTCACATTAACGTAGCATGTTTAAAATGATGATAAAAATTTGTCATTATATATATATAAATATTTTACATTTCAAAATGATTCATTTTTTATTTAAAACATAAACAATTATTCTATTGTAATTTTTTTTTCTTAATATCAAAAATGTCTGAAAAAAAAAATCAAAGTAATGATAAGTCTATAAAATATTCTAATTCAAATAAAGAAAAAGCAAAAAAATTATTTGCTAAAGCAATAAATTATGAATATGATGAAAATTTTTTAAAGGCTACAAAATTTTATCAAGAAGCTGTAAAATTATATCCAAAAATTCTCAATATCTATACAAATGAAAATTCTGAAAATATGTAAATTTATCTTTTTAAGATTTATAAATATTTATAGACATACATATAATCTATATTTTATTACATGAAATAGTTTTAAAATAATTTTATATGTAACACATTGGGAATAAGCATTCTATATATATATTTTTTTTTTATTACACACTTGTTTCATAGATTTTTATTAAAGTTTTTATAAACAGTCTTTTTTTTTTTTTTTTTTTATTTTTATATAGAGATAAAAATGAATCTACTGAAGAAAATGATAATGATAAAAATAGTTACTTAATAAATATTCTATCAAAAAATTTTTATTCAATAATAAAATTTTTAGACTTTTATTCCATGCATAGGTTTAAAATATATTCATATAATTATATATTTTAAGAGAAATAATAAATTATAATTTATAAATAACTTAACTATATTGAAATATAATGTTTGATAAAAAAATATAACATATATATATATATATATATATATATATATATATATATATATATATATATATATATACATGTGTAAAATAAAGATGAAATGAATAAATATTAATTAGTAATATAATTTTTGTACATGTTTATATATTTTATAAAGTTGTATAATATTAGCATTTTTAATAGATATTATTGTTCAATTACTCCTATAATATCATATATATACAATATTTAATGAAATTTTTTTAATAATAATTTACATATATATTTATAAAAAAAAAAAATTAAGAATATATATAATAAAAACTTATCATTCTTTCTTCTGAATAATATAAAACAGATTTCATTTTTTATGCAAAAACATTTATTCTTTGATATCTCTTGAAAATGAGTATAAGCGTTTATGTGAGATAAATTTTACAAAACATGAAGAAAAAATAAAGTTATATGAAAATTCTTACAAAAGGTTTTATATAATAGATTAAAAAAAAAAAATAATAAAATATTTAGATTATTTTTTTAAATAACTAAAACGAATTATAAAATTGTTTCTAGGTTATTGTTAGAATATCCTCGTATTCGTTATGACGGTGTTTATATTAGCTGTATCACATATATAAGACGTAAATTATTAAGATCAAAAATATATAAAAATTCATATAAATATTTTTATGAATAGAAAATTTATCTCTCTTTCTCTTTATATATATATATATATATATATATATATATATATATAACAAATATAATTATTTAACTATAACTTTTTACATTAATGAAAATATTTTTAATGGTAAATATATGAACAGTTTTTTTCTTTTTAATGTATTAAAAATAGCATTAAAAGACATAGGAAATATACATTTAGATCCAAAAGATAGAGATAGAGTCATATACAATCCTTGTTTTATTACATATTTTCGATACTTACTATTTTTGAATGAATCTAACAAAGTTCTAATATTGAGGTCTGAAGTTAATAAAAAAGAAGTTTTGGAAGCATTAAAGATATCTTATAATAAAATTAAAAAATGGAACTTGTTATTATCGTGTGATGAATTAATTAAGGATTTATTAAAATTTCAATCAGAAAGTGAAAATAACATTGTTAAATTTATAAGAATAGGAGAATATAAATTTAACAAAGATGAACGTATAATAGAAATACATTATTCAGAATTATTAAATGAACCAAATAAATATAAGAATTTAATTCAGTTACGTTTGCAAAATTATTTAAGCGGGAATAATAATATGTTAAAATGGGTATCTTTTAAAATTTTATCAAAAATAAAATTTAACTATTCAGAAGATACACTGAATATTAATAACAAGCAATATCGGTTTGTATATATATTTATATATTTTTTTTTATTGTTTTTCTTAATTACATTTAATATTCTGTATTTATCTTTTTTTTTTTAGGTCTTTTTTTTTTTTTAATCTAAAGTTTTTATCTCATCTATTTATAACTAAAATATCAGAAAATTAATTTTTAAAATCATTATCAAAACTCTTTTTTACATTATAATGTTCTCTTTAAATATATGCTTGCACACAATATAAAAAATTTTTTTTTTTTTTTTTTTTTTTCTTTATATTCAAATATTTATAGAATTTTTTTTTTTTTTTTAAAAGTGTACATAATAAATACATATATTTTAATGAAAATTACATTTTGTTTTTTTATTTAATTTTTTTTTTTTTTTTTTTTTTTTCCAATATTTTATTTTATTATTTTTTTTTTATGCAAAAAAAAAAAAATTAAAAATATTTTAAAAATTTTAATTTTGTGAATATTTTGAAATTTTTGAAGCAAAATTAAAAATGGGTGAAATAATTATTTAGTTTTCTAAGTTAAAATAAATATATAAAAAAGAATAGTTTCTTGATAATTTTAAAAATAAAAAAAAAGAATGTTAGATAAAAATTTTCATTTAATTAAAGATTTAAAACCTTTTTTGAATAACATATCAATACAATGTTTAATTATTAAATACATAGATGATCCACCTGATCATGTAAATAATATTGTTAAATATCATTATCAAATAGCTGATATTAGTGGATCAATAATATTATGCATTCCTCACACACTTATACAAGAAGAATTAAACAAAAATAATATTGATATTTTGAGTGATGATATTGAGGATGTAGTTGACTCATACGACGATACTAACTTAAATCATAATCAAAATGAAGTGAATATAAACGAAAAAAAACATATTTATGATATAAATAAAAAATCAAGTAACACTAAAACATTAAAATATTTTTTCAAAATTGGAGATATATTAAATATATATGGAGCAGTAACAACTTGGTCAATGGGTAAAATGGTTATAAAAATATAAATTAATTTTTTCATTTAAAATTTTACTTGATTTTTTTTTTTTATATTTGTTACTAATGATTATTGTTAATATATTATTAATTTTTAATGTCTATAATTTATTTGTATTAATTATACAATGTTCTTTTTTATTAATATAATATTTTATATAATAATTATTTACGTATATATTATGTTTTTTTTTTTTTTTTTTTTTTTTTTTTTTTCTTAGGTATTAATGCCTAATACAAGAATTAAAAAAAATAGTCTTCATGAAATTAGAGGGTCAATTTATAGAGTTGGTTTTTTCACCATGAATATTAATACTGAACCTAATTTAAGTAATTTAATTACATCAACTACAGAGAAAAAATATCAATTGGAGGAGAATGGAACAAATAATTCAAATCGCAATTTTAGTATATGCAAAAATACAGATAAAAAAAATTATGTAGGAAATTTTCTAAATAATGATAAAGTTAGTAAATATGACATTATTCCTTTATTAAATGATGGTGATATAGATCTATCTTTTAAAATTTAATTTAAACTATAAATAACAAAAGAAAGAAAGTGAAAAGAGGAAAAAAAAACTATTTACAAATTTTAATTATTTGTTACTTCAGTTATATATGTAATGCAATTAAAACAAGTATACATTATTTATAAATAATACAGAAATTAAAAGATAGTTATAAAAAAAGAAAAAAAAATTAATTAAAATAAGAATAGTTATTAATAGAAAAAATAAAAATTTTTAAAAAAAATTTTATTGAAAAATTTATTTGAAGCAAAATAATCTCAAATTGTAAAAAAAAAAATTAATAAACTTATATGCATATATATATATATTTATATTTATTCAGAAGTACAGTGTATGGAATACGCAAATTTTACTGCGTTTGTGTTATTCTTTTATCAGCATGAAAAGTTTAAAAATGTAAGTTTAGTAACTAAAAAGGATATCTACAACAAGTTATTAACAACAATTATTTACATTTATAATAAGAGAGTTTAAATAAATCAGTTAATTAATAAATTTGTCTTATTATTTATTAATATAAATATTATCAATAATAATTTAAATAAAATAAATATATAATTTGGTTACACATCTATAAAAATTTTACATTTTGTTTGATCCTTTAACATGGAATAATTATAATAATAAATATATGAGTTATCGTCATTCAAATTACTGATATATCCAATTGGTACGTCACATTCTTTGCATAATATTCTATACTGTGCTTCTATTCCATTTTTTCTATTTATTAAAATTCTCTTTGTTTGTACTTTATGATTTTTTTTATGAACAATTTTTTTATATGGATATATAATTGAATTATCTGTTTTTCTTGTTGGCAAGTTATATATATCAATTTCACTTATTAAGCAATTATATCCACATAAAAAACAAAAGTAAACCAAAAAATCTTTTTCAATTTTTCCAACAAAACTATCTTTTGGGGTATAATTTAAAATTCGAAACTTTTTTTGTTTATTATCATCTTTTGAAGCTTCATGCTCCGTTTGAACTTTTCGTTTAATTTCTAACAGCGATATTTCATTTTTTTCTTTATTTTCATTTTCCATTTTTTATATATTAAAAAATACTTACTGATAATTCATTCATTATTCTATTTATTATTTTTTTTTTATTTTAATTATTTAAAATATTAGTATAACATATTTTTCCATTTTTTTTTTTTTTTTTTTTTTTTTTTTTTTTTTTTTTTTTTTTTTTGTCGCTTTAAAATTGGCGCATGCTATTAAAAAAAAAATTTTAATAAAAAAAAAAAAAAAAAAAAAAAAAAAAATAGAAGTGGAAATAAGTATTTTTTTAATTATACTTTAAAAATAATAATTTTTTTACATAAAAAAAAAATAAAAATAAATAGTTCATATTAATTGATGTACTCTATAATAATTTATGAGAACTCAAAAAAAAAAAAAATTTTTTTTGATTTTTTTTGTATTAATAAATTTTTGAAGGTTTAATAAATAAAAAAGATAGGCATATACACATATATAGCATGTATTTGTGTTTTACAATTTTATTATAAATTTAATAAAATACTTTTAATTTAAAATAAAAATGGAATAAAAAGAAATAATGCCTTATTACTACTTTTATTAAATAGACCTTTCTTTTTTTTAATTTTTTTTATTGTATTTGGTGTCTTATACATTTTTTGTGGTAGATATGCATAGACACATAATAAAAAGACAAAAATTTCAATTTTTGTCACATTATAAAGATAATACAAGTGTCCATATATTATTAGTAATAATAATAGCAACTATAATTAGAATATTCTGTATCATATATACAGTTTTATGGAGTAAATTAATAAGTAGTTATAAGTTAAGCAATAATTTATTATGTGAAAATGGGACATTATGGGAATATATAAAGTGCTTCTCTTATTGGGATGGAGAATATTTCTTAAGATTATCATTAAATAAAATCGAATATTCTTACGAACAAAATCATGCATTTTTCCCTTCATTACCATTAATTATAATATTTACAAAAAAGTTATTTATGAAATCAATATTAAATACTGATAATTGTGCAATAAATGTTTTAATAGCAGTAATAATAAATAATATATTTTTTGTTATAGCAACCATAGGAATATATGTGTTTTCATTAATACACCTTATGAATAGAAAAAATTATGAAAATAAACCTGCCTTAATGATAAATGAACAAAGCTGTTTTTATCTAAGTAATATAAAAGATGAAAAGGAATGTTATAGTTTCAGTTTTTTTTTATCTGTTTTATATTCATTTACTAGTGGGAATATTCATGTTAGCTCATTTTATAATGAAAGTATTTTTAGCTGTTTCTCTATATGGGGATTTAATTTTTTAAAATTATCAAGTACTAATAATATGTGTCCCTTTTTTGAAATATTGGCTGTGTTATCCTTTTTTATTGCATCTTCTTTTCGATCAAATGGTATCTTATTTTTAATACCTCTTTTTTTCTATAATATCAATTCATGCAAATTTTGTCAATATTACATAAAGAGTAAAACTGAGAAGAAGAAAAATATAATTTTTTCTTATTTTTCTTTTAAAAGGAATATTTTTTATTTTATAATCCATTGGTTAAAAGCTTTAATTGAAGCATTTATTGTGATTTTTCCTTTTTTAATTTTTCAGATTTATTCATATCATTTATATTGTGCACAACACAATGATTTATGGAAAGAACAAAATAAAACGTTTTATTTATTTTTAATTAATTTCATTAAAAATCCATTTTCCTATATAAATATATGGAATAATAAAAGTATGTTAATAAATAGACCATGGTGTAATAAAAATTTTCCTTTTATTTATAATTATATACAACATAAGTATTGGGATGTCAGTTTTTTAAAAATTTTAAAGGCACCAAATTTCAATATAATATACTCTGCACCTATATATTATATATCCTTTCACTGTGTATTTAATTTTTTTAAGTATTATAATTTTAGCTTACATGGATTTTCTCTGTTGTTTAATCAGTTTTTTGGATGCATAGTACACTTGTGTATATTTTCTTTTTATATATTACTATTTGCACATAACGAGGTTAAAATAAAAAATACACATATATGTGAATATTTATAAGATTTTATTGAATTTATTAATAATAATGACACACATATATTATATCTTCAAAATAAATATTTTCCTATCTCTATAATAAGTTTTACAGTGGATATGAGTTTGTATTTCACCTTTTTTATAAATTTTATTTCATTATTTTTAAATATAATATTTTAATACATAAAAGAAAAAAGAAATAAATATATATATATATATATATATATATTACTTTTTTTAAAATATGTTATTGAACAATATAAAAAATATTTACTGATTAAATTTTATTCTTTTTTTTTTTTTTTTTTTACTTTACAGATAATATTGAGATTAATTATAAGTTCTCCAATTTTTTTTTTACATTATGCTTATTTGTTAAAATATTTTGAAAATTGGAATTACCTTTTATTTATAAATTTATTTTATTTTTTTGTTGGACCTCCTTTATTTGGAACTTATATTGCCTGGACATAAATCGATTTTATTTATGTGAAAATATATTCTTAAATTATTAAAAAGAAAAAAATTAATTTTATATAAAATGAAGTAAATACATTTAGTTTATCATAATATTTTTATTAATAATTTTTTATTTTTAAACAACTAGAAAATTTCAAAAAAAAAAAAAAATAAATAATAAATAATAATATAAAAATATAATAAAATTAATAAAAAAAAAAATGAGAATATGGGGTATTTCTATGATATTTAATTTATAAGAATTACATTTATTTTTCTTCTTTAAATATTTTTAACTTATTTTCTATATACAATTAATTGTGTAATACTATTTATTTTCTAAATATATAATATCTTCATAATGTATTTCTTTTATATAAAAATTATAAGGTGATAAGTTATCATAATATTGATTAGAGAGAGAGAATTTTTTAGAAGATTAATAATGAATAAAAATTTTACTAATTTCATTAAGTATAAATGGTTAAAACTAATTTATAATTATTTAGCACTACTTTCTTTTTCATCATATAAACTACCTTTATTAAACATTCCCCCAAAAGTAATTTTATCTTTTTTTCTAGCTTCTTTTAATTTAGTTATACACAATTCATAATTATTTCTAATTTCTAAATTTTTAGGGTTTAATGAAGCAGCTTTATATAAGTTATCTTTAGCTTCTTCTAAAAATCCAAAATGCATATTTGCAACTCCTAATTTATATAATGCCTTAAAATTATTTTTGTCTAACTTAAGAACTTTAGATGCATGTTCAATAGCATTAGGATAATCCTTATTTTTATTATAACATGTAGATAAATTTAAATTACATATAATTTCTATATTTTTTTTTTTTTCCAGTAATTTGTCTTCCCACTCTTCTGCATGCATGAAAAAGTCAAGAGCTTCTTTATATTTAGAAATAGCTTCATCAATTTGGTCTTTTTTAAATAACTCATTTCCTTCTTCTTTTAAGTCAAATGCAGCTTGTATTTTTTCTTCATCAGTATAATCATAAATACTTTTTTTAGCTTCTCTAAAACTTAATAATTCAATTTCAAAAATGAGAACACTATTACCTGGAATATTTTCTCCACATCCTTCTTCTCCATAACCGTATTTACTATCTAAACGAACTGAGCATTTTTCATTTTTTTTCATAGAAGCTACACAAATATCCCACCCTTTTATAACTTCTCCTTGACCTAAATGAAATTTAAATGGCACATTTCTATCGAGTGATGAATCAAATACTTTTCCGTTACTTTCTAACTTTCCTACATAATGTACTGTAACTTCATTTCCTTTTTTTGGTATGTTTTCTTCTCCCTCATCTCCTCTTCTTAATATTGTTTTTATTACCCCTCCATCTCCAGTTAAATGAATTTGTTCGTAATTTTCTGTGTTCTCCATTAGTTATATATAAATATATTAAAAATATATATATATATATATATATATATAGTCAACAAAAGAAAAAGTAAAAAATTCCTATGAGAAAAATTTATAATTTCTTAAATAGAAAATTGAACATAAAATAATATTCTAAAAATTAAAAAATAAATACAAATATAAAAACAAAAAACTTTAAAAAAGTGTTATTAAAAGAAAAATATATGAATAATTAAAAAATTATTTAAAAGGAAGAAATTTTTTAATATAAAAAAAAATTTCAAGGAGAAAATACAATTTTAAAAATTTTTTTTAAATTATTCTAGATTGTTAAATATATATAAAATTTTTAAAAATTATACGAATACATAAATAGATCTAAATGCATCCATTTCATATTTCTTTTATTTTATATAATTCAAGAACATTTTAGTATCTATATTTTTTTTTAAAATAAAAGATTTTTCGTATAGATGTGAAAAAAAATAGATTTAAAAATTAAATAGAAAAAAAAAAAAAATCGATTTTACTTTTAATTTATATCTTTTTTCCTTCTCAAAAAACAAAAGAATCACTTAAATGCAATAAAGTTCACGGAATGAAAAAAAGGAAATGTACTTTTTATTTTTTTTTTTTTTTTTTTTTTTGAAACATACAAATATATTTGTAATAAAAATATATAAAAGATAAAAAAAAAATTTACATTGTTAATTACTTTCTTTTTTTAGCATTTTTTTTTTTTTTAATTATATGAATATGTATTTTAAAAATTTAATAATGTTTTATATTAATTTTTCAATTAGCCTAAATTAAGACTGACTTAAAAAAAATGGAAAAAAATAACTTTCTTTTTTTTTCTTTTTCTTTTTTTATATAATAAAAACGATTGATCTATGGAATTTTATTTGAATAGATAAATAAAAATTGTAAATAATTTCATCTTTCTATTCTTTATGATTTTATAAATAAAATGGACTTAATGAACTTAAACAACTTTAGCCTATATTTGATTTTAATATTTTATTATAATTTTTTTTTAATAAATAAATAATAAAAAAATTTTTTCAATATTATAACTATTTGTGAATGAAATATATCTTTATTTTATGTAAAGAGTCAATTTGTACTTCAAAATGTGCAAGAAAAACAAAAGGATATATAGACAATAAAAGGAAAATATATGCAAAGTAGTTTTTTTTTTTTTTTTTTTTCTTAAAGAAAAAAATTAAAATAATAGAAAATTCCAAATTTTAATATATATTTAGAATTTTTTTAAAATTTTTTAGAATATATCAATAAATGAACCACAAAAGAAAAATATGTGAAAATAATATATATATAAAATATAACTATTGTTTTGTTCTTATTATTAAAGGAAAAAAATTATTATATATGTAACATGACTATACATAGATAATTATTTGATTTTAAATACTTATATAAAAAAAAAAAATGAAACTACTCTTAAGTAAAATGTAAATATAATAATATATAAAATATTGTCATTTAAAATAAAACAAAATGTTATTAAAAAAAAAAAAAAAAAAAAAAAAAAACTAGTTTTCTTAAAGATTAAATAGTATTAGGGTATAAAATCAAAAATTTTTAAATTTATTTTAATAAAAAGTAAAAGGTTTAATAAATATTAATACTTGAAAAAATAAAAATTATATTTAATTCTTTTAATAACTCGAACTTTTAATTTTATTTGTTTTATGTTATAAATAAAAAATAAAGAATATTTTTATTTTTTGAATGAATATAATTCTTCATCAAAAAAACAATGTATCAATTTTTTAATTAAAAAATCCCAAGAAAATAGACAATTTCATGTATTTATAAAAAAGATATTTATTTTTTTTTCTTTTTTTAAAATTTTTCATAATAAGTACTTTAAATGTTATATATAAAAGAATAAGAAAAAAAGAAAAAAATTACACAAAATACAATTTTTCGCACACAAAAAAAGTAGTTCATATGCTTTTTTTTTTTTTTTCTTTTTTTTTTTTTTTCTTATCTTTTTTTCTTATCTTTTTTTTTTTCTTTTTTTTTTCAACAATTTTATTTTTTATTATATAAAGACGTATAAATATACAACAAATGTCTTACCTTCTTTTTTTTCTTACATTTTTGCGCATATTAGTTTATTTGTTAATGCTTAAAATTATTTTATTTTATTTTATTTTTTTTTTTTTTTTTTGTATTAGTATTACAAAAATAATTTAACTAATTTTATCATTCTATTGTAATGACATATTTGAAGAATGAAACTTTTTAATGTTTATCTTTTTTTAATTTCTATTTTTTCAATATGTATAAAATTAAACAGATAATAAAAATTTCAAATATGTTGATTATAAATTATACTAAACTATTTTTGTTTTAAATAATTTATGTATACACTTATGTATCTAAAAATTATCAAAATTTATATATTTAGGAAATTTAAAAGACATAAAGTGTATATTTACAGGAAATTGATATCTCTATTAAGAACTTCTTTCTGATTAACATAATATATTATACATTTTTTTTTTTTTTTTTAATATTAAAAATAAAAAATTTTTATAAAAATTCGTGTTTATTTTTATTGCGAATTTTTTTTTTTTTTTTTCTGTACATAGGTGTTTCTACACTTTAAAGATTTTTTATTTTAATTCATTTCAAAGAATATATAAATATATATATATATATATATTTATATATACATACATATTTATATATATATATATATATTTATATATAAATATATGTATATATATATATATAGTAAAAGATAAAATTAGTTTTAACTATTTTTACCTTTGTTGTTTGAACACTTATCTTTTAAATATATATTAATCTTATATATAAATATATGCTATTTATATATTTATTTATATTTTTTTATTAGACAGTATTATTGTTGTATTATGATTATTATTAATGAATGCGTCATATATGCCATAATTCATTTATAATTATATATTCATTTTTATATTTTTAAATGAAGTAAGTTATAACATTTGTTTAAATATTTATTTTATGATATACTTTACATTTTAAAATGTTATATGAATTAATAAAAATATATTTTTTATAAGAATAATTTGTGTGTTTTAAGTAATTTTTTTTTTTTTTTTTTTTTTCTGTAATTTAAATGTAATTTAAATATATTAAATGAATAATAATAATTATTTTATTTTTTTGTATGATTAAATAGTAAATTAATGATACAATTTATTTTTAATATCTTATTTTATTTTTTTCATTATTTTTTTTTTTTTTTTCTGAATTTCCTAATAAAAAATGAAGTAATATAAAGCAGTATAAATTTAATTGAAGCTTTATATGAACACAATGAAAAAATATTATTATTTGTATTGGACTTATTAATTTCATCTATATAAATTCTATTTGGGTGTATTCATTTATGTGAATAATTATTTTAAAAGTGTTTTTATAAAATATAAATTAACAAAATAACAAATAATTATTATGTTTGTAGTTTATTAAAAAAAAAAAAAAAAAAAAAAAAAAAAAAAGATAGAAAAATCAAAAAGAATAAAAAATATCAAAAATGTTAAAGTTTCGAAGTATATGTACCACATTAATTGGAGGAAAGATATATAATATAAATGGAAAAACTATAAGAGAAGAAAAATTAATATCTGAAGGAGCCTATTCTTTTGTCTATATGGCGAAAGATTTAAATACAAATAAAATTTTTACTTTAAAAAAGACTATATGTCAAGATAAAGAGAAATTTGAAATGGCAAATAAAGAAATAAATATTTTAAAAAGCTTACCACCTCATAAAAATATTGTTCAATATTATGGTTCAACAGTTGTTTCAGAAAATAATTATAAAATTGTAATAATGCTAATGGAATATTGTGAAAGAGGTAATCTATTAAATATATTTGAAAAAAATAAAGATAAATTAAGAGAACATCATATTGTTAAAATAATGAAAGATATAATAACGGGACTGTGTTTTTTACATACTCAAGAAATACCAATTATACATAGAGATATTAAATTAGAAAATATTTTATGTGATAAAAAAGGAGTTTATAAAATTTGCGATTTTGGTTCTCATACAGTTTCAAAATCCATTTATCCAAATGATTTAATGAAAAATTCGTTATATATATTAAAAGAAGAAATAGAAAGAGATACTACATTAATGTATAGACCACCAGAACTAATTGATTTATATTCTAATTTGGAAATTTCTTGTAAAGTAGACATGTGGATGCTTGGATGTATTTTATATTTATTACTTTTTAAAGTTCATCCTTTTCAAAACAATAGTTTTTTATCAATATTAAATGGTAGTTTCACAATTCCATATAATACAAAATATTCTAAAAGAATTATTTCTATTTTACTTATGACTTTAAATAAAAATCCATTAAAAAGAATTGATTCATCGACTCTCTTATTTATATTAGAAAATTATGCAGATTTAAAAAAGTGGTTCACACATATTCCTAGTGATATAAAGAAAAGAGTAAATCAAATTTTTGATAAAATGAATGAACTTAATTTAAATAACAAACAAAATAATCTTATAGAAATTAATAATGATAAAATCATTGAAATAAAAACAACTCAAAAATGTGAAACACAAATACCAAAAAATAATATAAACTTTTTAAAATTTTTTAGTCAAAATAATTTAAATAGTAACACACTAAAGAAAAATATGAAAACTAATGTTTCTGAAAATAATCCAATTCAAAATAAAAAAAATGATATTATTGAAGAGAAAAAAGAAAATGATACTACTACTAATAATATCAAAGATAATAAAGATGTGTTAATTTGTACAGAAAATAAAATATTAGAAGAGAACACTGAATCAAAAATAGAAAATAAAAATGAAGATCCTAAAATAAAAAGTACAGAGAAAATAATAAGTCAATCTGATAATAATATTAATGAATCTGGGGAAGACTTAAATTTATTAAATCTTAGTATAGAACCTAATAAAACAATGGGAAATGATGATAACCAAATTATTTATAATGATAATGAACATATATTAAAGGATTTGAGTTTGAATAATGAATTAAATCTATTTGATTTTAAGAATAGTATTTTAAGCAATGAAAAAAGTAGTTGTAACAATTTTGATAATTTTTTTGATCCATGGAATTATGGGGAAAATGATGACTTATCGAAAATATGTAATTCTGCAAACAAGAATAACGATAATGATTTATTTGAAAGTAATAACAATTTCCCTATTAATAATGATTTATTTAATAAAGATGAAAACTATTCTAGAAATAGTGATTTTTTTAAAGATAATAAAAATGAAATTTTTAAAGACACCTATTTTTCTATAAATAATTTATCAAATGATACTGAGAAGTTAAAGGATCAGAACTTCATGAATATTCACAACACATGTAATAATATGTATTATTTTGAAGAAATGAATGATCATAATTTTGATAGTATGCTTAAAACAAAAATTGAAATTAATTCAGAATTCAATTCTAAAAACAACATTTCAAATAATAGGAAAACAAAAAATACTTCTCAACTAATTACACCAGACAAAAATGACAAATTTTCAGAATTACTTGATGAATTTCAAAATTTATCAGTTCAATAAATTTTTAAAATTGTTAAATTTTTTTTTTTTTGTGTTTTTTTTTTATTCTTTATATAATATTATTATTTTCATTTTCATTTAAAAAAGAAAATAGTTACAAAAAAAAAATAAAATAAAATAAAATAAAATAAAACAAAATAACTAATAATGAAAAGTGTTAATACATTCTTTAAAAAGGAAAATAAAAATAATATATAAAAAATATCAATATATGTTCCCTATCTATTAAAAAGTACAAAAAGGGAGAATAATAGTAATAATGTTTATAAATTTACATTTAAAAAAAGTATTTTTTTAAATTTGATTTTTAATATATGAGTATATTAATGAATAAACATTTTTAATATTTTCAAAATTATATTTTGTCTTTGTGCATGGTATTATTTTTAAAGGTATATTTAATTCTGATAAAATTCTCTTTAATTCTTCATTTTTGTCTTTTTCTCTAGTTAAAACAACTTGAAATTCTTTTTTATAGCCATTTTTTAATTTATTGTATAAATTTACTAAAATGTTTAAGAAAGAATGAGTTTTAGAATCTTCTGGAAAATAGACATTTTTAAAATTTAACTTTTTAAGAAGTTTGTAGCAACTTATTCCCATACATATAACATAATCAAAATCGTTACCAAAATTTTCATAAAATGATAATGCTGTACTATTACTCATTAGACATATTATGGAATTTTTATTTATATTGTTTTCTTTTTTATAGACTACTTTTTTTGTGTCATAACAATTTATTTTTGTCACTCTTATATTTTTTTCTATTTTATTATTTTTTTTCTTATTAAGTAAACTTAATTCATTAAAATTTGAATTACTTATAGCTGATGAAATCCATACTAAATTAGCATTAGTAATTTGGGTATTATTAAAAAACTTACAGATTAATTCTTTTTTTAGTACTGTTGAATTAGACTTACTTGGATAAAAAACAATATTTAATTTACCTATATCATTGTTAATTTTGTTGAATATATCATTATCTATTATTTCTTTTTTATTTTCTAATGAGATATTCTTATAAATATTAAAAAAATCAGATTTTTTAAATTCATTGTTTAAAATTTTATTGCATGATTCACCAATAGATATTATTGGAATTTTTAATATTTCACTAACATATCTATGATTATCCATCAAAATTTCAAAACTTTTACAATTTTGTTCTCTTTTTAAATTATATATAAATAATATAACTAAGAATCTATATATTCTAGCACCTTCTGGTGAAGTAATCAAAACATATAATTTTTCTTTTTCTTCATTTTTAAGAAGAGTAATATTTTCATTATATTTTAAACTCCACTTTTTTGAAGAAGGATTTACTTCTTTGTTATATTTCAAAATATTTCTATTCGTTTTAATGTTATTTAATTTAAGGAAAGAATCAGACAAAAAATTCCTAAGCTTGTAACATACTGAAGAAATAATATATATGAGAAAAAAAAATATATATTTCAATAAATTAATTTCCATAAGAAAATTAAAAAAAAAGTCATAATAAAATTAAATGATAAATTATTTAAAAAAACAAAGATAAATGTAAAAAAAAAAAAAAAAAAAAAAATAGTTTAAACAAATAGAAAAAATTGAAAATACTTATTATATGTTTACAAAAAAAAATATTAAAAAATAAAATAAAAATAATAAGAGTAAAAAAAGAAGTGTAATTAAAAAAAAATTTTATATTAAATAAAAAAAAAAAAAAAGAAGAAAAAAAAAAGATGAAGCATTTTTTTTTTTTTCTATAGAACATCTTCAAATAATGATCTAGGTAAAAATATTTCATCTCTTAAATATATAAATTTTTATAAAACAAAAGTTATGAATTTTAATCATTCTTTTGATAAAGTGAATAATTATTTTTCAAGTCTTATTTAATAGTATAACAATAGCCATATTGATACAAGAAATAAATGTGGTATTTATTATAAAAATCTTCATTATAGTTATTATTATAATTGTTAATTTAACAATGATTATTTTAAAATTTATTTTTGTGAAATTTATAATAAGGACAATATTGATAATATTTTAACAATGGAATATTTCTATATAATTGATTATTGTGTATTGAATTTTCGTTTTTTAATTTTAAAGAAATATATGGTTCATAATTTTTTATTACATTTTTTTTTGTTGGTGTGCATGGTGAAATATCTGTTTTATCTCTTTTGTTCTTTTTTTCTTGAGTTAATATCAATTGGTTAGTTAGTTTTGTTTTCCTCCTATTATGTAAAATAAATTTTTTCATTTCTTTTATGTAATCTTCGTTTTTTTCATAAAAACATTTAAAGTAATCATTTATTTTTGAAAATATAATTTTAATTCTAAAAGCGTGTCCAGGTATCCAAGTTACATTATTAAATTTTTGAATTTTTATTAAGTCTTGTGGTGTAATAGATAAAATTGTTTCAAAAGAGTCATAACCATAATTAAAAAAATGATTAATTATTTCTGAATTTATTTTAAGTTGTTTAAAAAATTCAATTAATATCAATTTTTCAGCTAATAAAATTTTACATTGAAACCATAAATTTGCAAATAGACCAATATATATAGAGAAATTTTTACATAAAAAATTCATTAAATTAACATATATATTTTCTTTTTTATTTTTTTCTAACATGATGCATATTATTTTAAAAAAATATTTTAATTCTTCTTTGCTTGCTCTTAATTCAGGTAAATATATTTTAGAATCAAAAAAATTATTATAATTATCTTTTTCATTTTTAAAATTGTCACAATCTATTTTTATATCTTTTAAATTACCACAAAATATTTTCTCATGTTTTTCGCTTTTATTATGTTTTCTTAATATATTAGATTTTTCGTTATTTTTTTTTTTACGCGCATAGAAATTATCATCTTCCTTCTTGAAAAAAATGTCATTCTTAATTTCATCTTTAGGATAGTATATTTTTTCTATTTTTGTTTGCATCTTTTTTGCTTTATTTTTATTTATTTTTTTTTTTTTTTATACAAAAAAATTATAGAGTGAATGTATAATATATATTTTTTTTTAAATAATTTATAAGAAACAAATAAAAAAATAATTTTTATAATTTTATGAAGGTTTTACACACAATTAGATTTCTATAATTTTGCCATAATATTAACAGTAAAATAAGAACAAAACTTATAAATTTATAATTATTAATAAAAGAAAATTACATAAAATTTAATTTTTTATTCGAATAATATTTAAAAATCTAACAAAATTTTAATTTCTTTTTTTGCATTTATTTTTAAAATTTATTAAGCAATTATGTAATACTTTTTTTATACAATAAATCATTTTAATATTATGAAAAAAAAATAAATAATAAATAAATATTAAATAAATATATAAATAAATATAAAAATAAATATAAAAATAAATATATAAATAAATATATAAATAAATATATAAATAAATAGATAAAAAGGACATTATTTTAACTATGTCGTAAAACAGGAAAAGACAAAATATAATTTTGTTTAGATTTTAAGTTTTCTACAACGATGATATATATAAGGTATATAAGGTGCATTAATTAACAAAATATACATTAACAATTTATCATTTTTTTATTTTTAAATTATACTTTGATTTTAATCCTATAATAAAAATTACTATAATGTTTTTAAAATTATTATGTTTTTAAAATTATTATGTTTTTAAAATTATTATATTTTTAAAATTATTATGTTTTTAATTTATTTATCTACATTCCTTAATTGCATATTTGATTTACATTCCCAATATTTTTTTTAAATTTATAAGTATATGTAAAAAAAATTTTTAACTAAAATAACAATTTATATATTTTTATAATTTTTTAGAAATTAAGGATTCATCATTTGTTATAATTTGATTCACATATATTTCACGATTTTATAATTAAATTGTTATATATAAATAAATTTTAACTATTTATTATTAATTGCAATATCATTTTTTTATCATAACAAATAATTCTTACTATTTACAATTTTATCATTATATATAATGATAATTTATAGTAGTTTTCTCTATTTATGAAAAATAGACAACGTCTTTCTTAAATTTTTTTTAATTATACCTTCCAGATATATAAAAAGATTCTTTTTTTCAAAAAAATATTAGATAAAAAATAAGGAAATATAATAATTAATATTAAATATTTATATGGAAAATTATATAATTAATTCTATTAAGTTATTATAATTTCTAAGAAGAAAATATGAATCCTCTGAAATATATTACTATTTTTTTTATGTGTATCTACATAAAAATAGACAAATATTCTAAAATTTAACTTAAAAATATTATAAGAATTGTAATAATATTTATTCAAAAAAAAATATAAAAGCAAAAAAAAAAAAAATGCTTTCTTAAATAAAACTCTTTTCAACTAAAAAAAAAAAAAAAAAATCTAATTGTTTTAATTAAAAAGAAACAGTTGTTATAACTCTTTAAAAGAGTTTTTAATTAAATATTAAAACATATTTAATTGTTGATAAATTCCCAATTTATGAATATATGTATATATATATAGGAATAATTATTATTTCTGTTTAGAACTTTTCTCTAATTTTTTTTTTTTAAATAAATTGAAATATGAAAAATATTATTTTTTTTTTTTTATTTACATTGTTTGATTGTTTGGTAAAAAGTGATTTACCAATACATGCTCTTATGGTAAATATATTCAAAAAAAAAAAAAAAAAATAAAATAAAATAAAATAAATAAATAAATAAATAAATAAATAAAAATAAAGTTGAATAACATGTTTATAAAAAAAAGATTTGAAATTATAAATAAAGAATATTCTATTTATAATAGGGAGATATACATGGTGTATGGAAAATAAGACAGACAAAAAAATTCAGTGAAAAACCTGAGCATTGTGGAGGAGGAACACCTAATAGAAATTCAGAAAATTTGAGTTCAAGTAAAAATAAAATATTAATAAAGACAAAAAAAAAAAAAAAGGAAAAGAAGTATATATTAACTATTATAAAAGAAATAAGTAGATGTAATATTAATAAGAATTTTACAATACTATTTTTTTGCTTTTTTTTTTTTTTTTTTGTTTCCATGTGTTAATAGCTGTAAAATATTATGAAAGATTTTTAGAGAATAAGTATGGAAGTCTAGAAGAAATAAAAATAAGATTAACACTGGAAAAAATTAAAATAATTAATGAAATTAAACCAAGAGATCAATGGACATACTTAGCTGTAAAAAGCTACGATGATGATGAAATTATCGGTTATTGGTAAAAAAAAAAAAAAAAGAAAAATACACTAATATATTTATATTATATATATAATTTTTTTTATATTGAAGGACAATGGTTTACGATGAAGGGTTTGAAATAAGATTGAAAGGAAGACGATATTTTGGTATAAAATATTATGATATATTCAAACATATATATATATATACATTCATTTTTTTTCATTTTTTAATTAGGATTTTTTAAATATGAGAAAAATTCTAATATAAATTGTCCCAAATCAATAGAAGGTAATAAAAATAATAAACTGTATTTTTCGTAAATTAAAAAAAAAAAAAAAAAATCACAAAAAAAATTATATTTAACAAATTATTTTAATATTTTAGATAAAAATTCTGATGAAAACGAATGCTATAAAACAGATCCTACTGAAACACGAATTGGATGGATACTTGACGAAAAGATAAAAAGAAATTCTAGACAGAAAATATTTCATTGGGGTTGTTTTTACTCTGAGAAAGAACAAGATGGAAATGTTTCTTCTTTTGTTATCCATAATATTCAACAGAAAGAAACTGTTATTGATAACAAGTATATATATATATATAATATATTAATAAAAAAAATTATATATATATTTATATATATATATTATTTCATAGTGAGAAAAATGAAGTTTATAAAAAAAATAAATTAAATTTTTCTATGCTTGGAAAAAGATCAAAATATAAAAAAGTCCGTTTGTCAAGTTTACCCAAAATATATGCTTCTACAAGAACTAATTTAAGTATCAATTATTAATATATATTCAATTACATTATTTTAGATATATTTTTTTAAATATTATTTCAATATATAATTTTTTCCTATTAATTTATTATATAGAAGTAACTTTTTTTTTTTTCAATTAATTTTTTAGTGAATATTTATGAGAAAAAAAGTCATCAAATTTATGGATGTAAAAAAGATAACTTTATCGACTTAAAGATTCGTTTAACTTTACCAAAGGAATTTAGTTGGGGAGATCCTTTTAGTGATGAAAATTTTGATGAAGAGGTGGAAGATCAAAAAGATTGCGGGAGTTGTTATTCTATTTCTAGTATATACTGCTTAAAAAAAAGATTTGAAATATTATTTTGGAAAAAATACAAAAAAAAAATAAAAATACCAAAATTGTCTTATCAATCTATTTTAAGCTGTTCCCCATTTAATCAAGGTTGTGATGGTGGGTATCCATTTCTTGTTGGTAGGCAGATGTATGAATATGGTGTATCTTCAGAAAAATATATGAAATGCGAAAATAATGATATGATTCCATGTAAAATTAATATGGGAGATTTTAACAAATCAAATAATAATGATAATAACATGGATGAGATATATTATGCCTCAGATTATTATTATATAAATGGATGTTATGAATGTGCAGATGAATATGATATGATGAATGAAATTTTATTAAATGGACCAATAATAGCAGCAATTAATGCAACCCCAGAATTGTTAAATTTATATAATATTAATAAAAATAAAATATATAATGTTACTTCTAATGAAAATAAAATATGCGATGTATTAAATGAAGGATTTAATGGATGGCAACAAACAAATCATGCTATAAATATTGTTGGATGGGGAGAACAAATAAATGAAAATAATAAATTAGTGAAATATTGGATTATAAGAAATACATGGGGAAAGAAATGGGGATATAAAGGCTATTTAAAATTTCAAAGAGGAATAAATTTAGCCGGTATTGAATCTCAGGCTGTTTTCATTGATCCTGATTTTTCAAGAGGGAAAGCTAAAATCCTTCTCGATTAAAATTAATTTTATACATGAAGAAAATATATATATTCCAAAAAAGAATATGCAGTAAAATATTAAATTACAACTAAAAAGAATTAATCGTAATTTTAATAATAAAGGCAAAATAAATATACGCTTCTATATATAAAAATGAAAAAAAAATATATATTTAATAAAAAAGTAAAAACATTGAAATTTTTTAAGCAAAACTATTTTAATAACTAATAGTTTATTACAATCATAATATTTTTATATGTATAAACTTAAAATTATATATGTGTCGTTAAAACAGAATTCATCTTCTTTGATTTAAAACTTCAGATTGATATTTTTTTTTTAATTTAATTTTATTATTTTCATTACATTAGAATAAAAAATTTTTTTAATTCATATGAATTTTTTTATTTTTTTTTTTTTTTTCTTTTAAGCTTTACGTTGTTTTAAAAGATAAAATTATAAAAATTAAATTACATGTTTTTTTTAAAAAAATATTTTATTGTAGAAAAAATATATTAATATCAAAAAAAAAAAAAAAATAAATAAGATTAAATTTTTTTTTTTTTTTTGTGAATGTAAAAAAAAATTTAAAAAAATATTAACGAATATATCATTAAATTGTATGCTAGAAAAAAAGAAATATATATAATTACCCATGACTTTTGTTATTTATTTTTCTTTTAAACTTTAATATAATTATTATGAACTTCAAAAAAAAAAAAAATTTATAGCATAAACCTATACATTTACATATAAATTTATGCTTTGAGGTAATAGTTATTAAATTTTTTTACTTAAATGTAAAAAATAAATAATAAAAATAATATTTTATAATTTTTTTTTTTTTTTTTTCACCATAAAAAAATATAGGTTATAAGTTGTTAATGCTTTTTTCCAGAAATGTAGAGATAATTTTTTTTTATTTTTTAATAGAAATTTTAATGTAGTTTTTAGAATAATATTAACAATTTTCTTGACACATAAGTGTTTGAGTGGAAAAATATTATTTATATATTTTTTTTGATGGAAAAAAATTCATAAAAATAAATATAAAAGTAAATTTGAGTGGTATAGAAAGCATTTAAATAAATGTTAACTGGAACATTTTTCTTGTATAATATATATATATAAGAAAGTAAGAATTTTAATAAGAAGAAAATGTCTAATTTTAAAAATATAGTTCCTAAAAGAAGTTACTTAGAAAGAGGGCAACCAAAGCATAGGTTGCATTTGGGAGAACTTGAAAAAAAAGTGGATTATGGAAAAAGAAGAGAAATTTACAAAAAAAAAAAAAAGATAGAAAATGTTTTAAAAGAAAAAGTTATGACAAAAAATCCAGATGAATTTCACACAGGTATAGTTCATTCAAGAATTACCGACAACAATATTTTAGTTAAGGAAAAAAAAGTTATTAAACCAGAGATACAATTAAAATACAAACGAAATGAATTAATACAAAAAACTAATTATCTATACAATAAATTAAAAAAAATTAATAAAAAAATAAGTAATTATCAAATTAATATTCCCTTAAGATATATTTTTAATAATTCACATGAATTATATAATGAAGATCAAATTTATACTTTAAAAGCAGAAAATAAAAAATTAAGAAAAAAAGGTGAATGTATTCAAAAAGAATATAACTCATTAATTAATGCAAAAAATAACATCTTAGATAATATAAGAAAACTAGATAATAAATATGCCACAACTTATAGAAATATTGATGGATATAAAATCATAAATGATAAAGGAAAAATACCTTACAGATTTTATGCACCCCGATTAAAATAATTTCTCCATATATTTTCATGGAAATATACATACAAACGATTTTTAGAAATGTTCTTTAATAATATAAATTTTTTTTTATAACTTTTTTTTTAAACTATAATATTTTTAATTTGTTTTTTGTATTTTATTTTTATTTTTTTCTCTATAAGGAGGAAAAAATTAATTAAAAATTAATTAAAAGTAATAATATATGTTGTTTTTATAAATATTTATAAACACACATTTATTTATTCTATATGTATATATTATTTTTTTAATGTTTATATACATATATTTATTTTAATATACAATTTTAAATAATCTTTTTTTTTATAAAATTAATACACAATTTTAGAATATATAATACTTAAACTGTAAATGTTTTTACAAAAATGAAAAAAAAATAAAATGTAAAAATGCGCAAATATGTTATGTGAGTTTTACAAATAAAATATTTTTTTTTTTTTTTTTTTTTTTTTTTTTTTTATCTAATAATATAATAGCGATACTTATAAAAAGAATTGTAGAAAATGTTAAATTTTTAAGATATAAAAGAAAAATAAATAAAATGAAATAAACTTTTTATGTATATTGAATAATAGAGATTTTTTAAATTTATTATACTTTTTTCTTTTGATTTCAGTAAAAATGAAAAAATAAATACTGAATTGGAAATGAGAATTATATATAAATATAAAAATGAGTATTATGAATTACTAATGAGCGAGGAAAATGCTGATGATAAAGTAATTGAGGTTTTCAAAAAAAATACAAATAAATTCGATTATAATAAAATAAAATATTATGAAGAAATAAATTCAGATTTGTTAAATTTTGAACAGTTTAGTTGCTCCAATATAAAGGATAATAAAAAAAAAAAAGGAAAAATAGTGAAGCTAAATTATAAATTAGATAATGCATTGAATGATAAAAATAAGATGAAACTTTATTTGAAATATAAAAGATATTTTGAAAACAAAAATTATATTGTTAAAAGCGGACATATATACGGAGCTGATTTATTATTATATTTAAGTGATGAAAAATATACACATTCAATTTATGTTGTTTATTTTATAAATGAACAAAAATCTTTAAGAGATTTAATTCAAATATTAAGATTATCTTGTACCATAAAAAAAAAAGTTATTTTAGTCATTGTAAATGAAATTAACAATTTTGACATATACAATTCCATTGTTTATATAAAAGTTTACTTATATAAATAAAAAAAAAAAGAAAACTTATAGTTGAATGATTATAAAAATCATTCCTACATAGTTTTTAAATGTTACTTATTTTCATTTTGTTATACTTATAAAATTTTATTTTTTGAATTCCATTTAAATTAAACATATAGCAACAACGATTCTATGTAGTTTCATTTCAATTATCAAAATAATTTTTAAAATAACACTAACCTTTTTTTTTTCGAAATATCTTGAATTTATTACTTTCAGGTTAATAAAAAAGATTAAACTAAAATTTACTTATATTATTAGTCTTATTCAACATTTTTAAAACATTTTTTCATTTGCTTATTTTAGTATATATAATTTTATTTTTATCATTTTATTTCAATAACTTAAAAATATTATATTTTTATATATTATACATTTTTTTTTTTTTTTTTTTTTTTTTTTTTTTTTTTTTTTTTTTTTTTTTTTTTTTTGATTAAAGTTAATAGTGACTAAAATATAAAAAATAAAAATATATTTTTTTTAATATGAAAAAATTTTTTATTTTTTATTTATCTCTATAATTATACTGGCATTATGAGACCTTTCTATGATTCTGATATAGTAGTCAATTTTACGCTTTCAGAAGAAGCAATACAAAACGAAAAAAGGATTATTGAAAATAATAGAATAGTAGTACGTGATTGCCACAAACAAAAACTAATAAGTGAAGGGAAAAAAAATTGGGATAAATTTTATAATCATTATAAAACGAATTTTTTTAAAGATAGGAAATGGATAAAAGTTGAATTTGATCATATCTTTAAAGAAAATTTAAAATATGAAAAAAAAAATAATCATGATATTGAAATGTTAAAAAGAGATGACGAAAAAGATTTAAAAAAGAAGTTAATTTTAGAAATCGGATGTGGTGTAGGAAACTCATTAATTCCTCTTTTAATAGAATATCATGATTTTGATTTTATAGGAATTGATTTCTCCAAAAATGCTATCAATTTTTTAAATGAGAAATGGAAAAAAATTGTAAATATTAATAACAAATTAAAAGATGAAAAATTAACAGGAGATACAGAAGATTTATTAAACAATGATTTAATTAATGTCAAAAAGATGGTTAGCCATGAAAATAATTTATTATGTGACCATATAAAAAATAATGATGCAAATAGTTATTACGAAGAGTCTAATATTTATGATAATGAAACTTCTGAGGAGGAAAATTCATCAAATATTTGTGAATTGAAAAGTTATAAGAAATTAGGAAATTTAATTAAAACATGTGTAGTAGACATAACAGCTGATGACACGCCAACAAATATATGTGAATTAGAAACAGTTGATATTATTTTGCTTATTTTTGTTTTATCTTCAGTACAACCTGATAAAATGAAAAATGTAATCAATAATTCTTACAAATATTTAAAAAAAGGAGGATATGTTTTATTAAGGGATTATGGATTATACGATTTAGCACAAGTGAGATTTGCTAATAAAAGAGAAAAAAAAATATCTGAAAATTTTTATGTAAGGGGAGATAAAACATTTGTTTACTTTTTTAGAATAGAAGAATTACGTGATTTATTTTGTCAAAATAGTTTATTTGAAGAAATAGAAAACAAATATATAACAAGAATTGTTAAAAATAGAAAAAGAAATATTGAAATGAAAAGAATTTGGGTACAATCCATTTTTAAGAAAGTTTAACAAACCCATAAAAATAATTATAAAAATCTATATATATATATATATATATATATATATATATATATATATATAAATATATTCAAATAATATATAAGATAAATTATAATAAAGATTTATATAAAAAGACTTGAAATGGAGTAAAGAAATTCATTTATAATTTTGCATATATTTTTTTTTTTTTTATTATTTTCAAGTTAATTCACATAATATATATCAAAATTATTATTTGAAAAAAATAAGAATTTATCATACTGAATACTTTTTTTTGTTTTTAAATAAAAAATTTTAATTTTTTAATATTAAAGTAAAATAATGAAATTCTTAAATAAAAGCAATATATTACATATATTACTCTTTATAATATTAAAAAAAAGGAAAAATCATATGTTTTTGTTATGAAATATACTTTTGCTTATATTTTAAGTTTCTCGAAAAAAAATTCACATAATTAAAATGTTATATAATATATAATTATATATTTGAAATGTATTTATATGTGATATATCTTTAAAAAAAGTTATGGAAAAAATGGCTTAATTTTTACAGTTATATTCAGTAATATTTCACTCTATTAATATATTAATTTTTATATAAATACATCTGTTATTTGATTAAATATTTTTAATATATTTTATAAATATATTTTTTGTATTAAAACAAAATTTAAAAAATGGTATATATTTTAATATAAAATGAATCTTTCATTAATTAAAAAAAAAAAAACATAAAAAAACAAAAATATTTCACTTTTTTCCACAAGTTATCTTTTTAAAAAATGAAAAGAAAAAATTGAATAAAAATTTTTATTAAATTGAATTTAATTTTTTTTTATAATTTTTTCATAAAATATTTTAAGAAAAATTATGTATATATATCTTATATATATTTATTTTATATATATATATATATATATATATATATATATATCTTTTTTTTTTTTTTTAAAGTTTTTATAAAATTAAAATTTTTTATAAATTATTAATTCTGTACAAATAATTTTTTGTACATTACAAATGTAGTTTGTTATAAAATTAAGAAAAATAATTACATCAATTAAAAATATAACGACATGATTTTATAAAAAAAACATTAATATACATAAAAAAAAAAAAAAAAAATAAATAAAAAGGAAAAGAAAAAGAAAAAGAAAAAGAAAAAGAAAAAGAAAAAAAAAAAGAAAAAGAAAAAAAAAAAAATATATATTTAAACATAAAAATAAATATGGATAGATATGGCCATAATGTTAGAACGGATGTTAAAAAACAAGGTTATGAAAATTCAGATTTGCCAATTCTTTGTGAAACTTGTTTAGGAGAAAATCCTTATGTTCGACTTATAAGAGAAGAAAATGGAAAGGAATGTAAAATATGTAAAAATGCTTTTACTCTTTTTAGATGGAAACCTGGACAAAAGGCAAGATACAAACAAACAGTTATATGTGGTATGTGCGCAAAAGTAAAAAATGTATGTCAAACATGTTTATTTGACTTGGAATATAATTTGCCTGTACAAGTCAGGGATAAATTCATTGAAAATGCTATTACCTTACCAGAGAATGAAACTAATAGAAATTTTTTTTTGGAACAAATGGAAAAAAATATGTCAACATCATATAATAAAGCTAATCATATAAATATTGATTTATCAAAATTAAAGAGATATGATCCTTATTTTAAAAGAAATATGGCACGCGTTTGTAGTTTTTGGAGAAACAATTCTTGTAACCGTGGATCGGAATGTCCATATCTTCATAAAGAAATACATTTAGATAAATCTTTGTACAATCAAAATATTAAAAATAGATATACAGGAGAAAATGATGTATTAGCTGAGAAAATATTAAAAAAATATAATAAAGAGAATGAAGGTGAAAATTTTATGGCAAACACAATTTGTATTCATGGAATTAGTGAATCCGTTAATCAAGTAAATATTAAGGAATGTTTTAAAAAATATGGAGAAATAAAATCAATTAAAATGATACCAAAAGATTGTAAAATGTTTATTTCCTATAAAAATTATAGTTCTGCTAAAAAAGCCTCAGAAGAATATAAAGATGGCCTAGAATTAAATGGATGTAATTTGACAGTTTTATTGCAAGAAGAGATTTATAATTCAAATATAAAAAATCAGGGAAATATGAATTTTCTATCTAATCAAAAAAATTATCAAAATATAAATGTGCCATATATGTATTACCCTTTTTATAGCAACAATTTAAATACATTATCACCAAATGCTACTCCGTATTCATCTATGATCCCATCTGAAGCAGAACAGAGAAAATAAGTTTTTATTATTTCATTAAATATCGTATAATTTAATATTTTTCTTTTTTTCCCTTTTTTCCTTTTTTTTTTAGTTAAAAATTAATATTATTCGTTGTTTTAATATAAAGTTAATATGCGTATTTTTAAAAACAGCATTAATAAGAAATTAAAAGAATTATTTAACTGTCTTTTATTATATTTTATTTTATTTTCATTTAGTATATGTTTTTTTAAATTTCAATATAAATATTTTGTTTTGTCTTTTTTTTTTTAAATTAAGGTATAAATTTTTAGTTAAATATATTCGTTTACAAAGAATTGAAGAAAAAATTCTGTTAACTATCAAAATCACAAAAAAAAAAAAATTTTATTTTCGAAACTACAGTAATACATAAAAAGTTTTTGCTTAATTTCAGACATATAAATAATTTTCAATTTATAACAATAAACGAGTAACAAAAATAACATAATATTATTTACATTATATTTAATGATTCTAACTTTTAAATCAAGAATTTTGCAAAAATAGAATACTTAAAATTTTTGATAATATGTGAAGATTTTAATTTATAAATAAAAAAAGTAGTATACTAATATAAATTACGAAAACAATAAAAAATATTGTAAAATAAATAAGAATTTATGTTAAGATTAACAAAAAATATTTTATAACAATATGTTACTTTTTTAAATGTTTCATTAATAAAATAGAAATATTAGATTAAAAAAATATATATATGTATATTAAATGTAGTCACGTAAAAAGGAAAATATAATAAAAAATTAGGAAGAAATGTTATTTAAAAAATGTACTTTGTATTTTTTATAATACATTGTATTATTACAAAATATAAATTTTACAGTTTTTATATATTATTTATCATATAAAAATTTAATAAATATGTCAACTCCATGAAAATGAAAATTTTTATATAACTTTATAAAAAAAAAAATAAATAAAATAAACAAAAATTCTAACTAATATTTTATTTAATCTTATAAAAGTTTTACTTGATTTTTTCTTTGTTCCAAATAATTAACATAATGATTTATTATGCCCGTTGATCTCCATAATATTATCCATATGCATAAATTTGATAAACCTATCCACCAATTCCTTTCATGCCTCCACTTGTATAATTTTAAATAATCAGAAGATATTCCTGCTATTAATTCATTTGGATTATACATTTTTTTTACATTATACCTTAACTTATATGATTCACTGATGAAAATTATAAAATTTAAAATTAGTATTAATGATACTATTCTTACGGATGTATCTCCAATTTTTTTCCTACAAAAAGAATAACTAAATTTAACTAAGAATTTTATTTTTAATAAGCAAGACAAAAGTAAGAATATTCCTAGAGGCATTACAATTAAATATATAAACTTCAAAAATGACATTTTTTATATTCAAAAAAAATTTTTTTTTAAATTAAAAAAAAAAGTAAAAACTCTTCTTTTCTAAAGAATATCCATAAATAATAAAAATATAAAGGTATTCTTTTATTTATAAAATATATACAAAAAAAAAAATTAAAATGGTGTTCTTTATTTTTAATCTATGAAAAAGTGAACTACTTATATAAATTTAAAACTATACTATTTTTTCTTAATTTTTTTTTTTTTTTTTTTTTTTATTTATTTAACGCATTTCTGCTTAAGTATTCCATTGAAAATGTTAATGTAAAACTTTTGCAAAATTCTTTCTTTTTTAATATATTCATTTTTTGTTAAATTAAAAATAAATTATATTTTACTTAGCAAATCATTACATTACAAATAAGTTAATATTCAATATATAAATATTTTTTAATATAATTTTAACTTTATAATATATTCTTATAGTAAAATTTTATTTAGATGTATATTTTGTGCTATCATCAATTTAATTTTTTAGTTTTATAATGATTTGAATATATACCCTATTTGAGATTTTACATAGTTCATTCTCTATTTTAAAAAAATAAGGAAAAAAATTGTAGCATATATAATAGTCTAAAAGCAATAATTTTTATGAATACCATATATTTATAGAATAACAAATTAAGAGAAAAGCTCAAAAAATTTTAATTCTTTTTTTTACACATGTAAACAATAAAAAAAAAAAAAAAAAAAGCAACAGCACCTAGGATGGAAGCTCTTTATGATAAAAAAAATTATTTGACTTTTAACTTGAATTTTACATAATATGAAAATGAATAATTTTTTTAAAAATACAATAATATATTTTATTTTTTTTTTTAATTTGGAATTGTTTAATTAAAATCCATAAAAGTAGCGATTTTATTGTATTATAGGATGTAACAAGCATAATAGAAATTTTATATATGACTTTTACATTTTAAATAGAATATATTATATATGTAATTTTTTTTTTTTTTCATTTTATAACTTTACAGTTTGTCATATGTTTTTAATCAATGAAAAAAGAATTAAAATAAAAGAATTTCATTTTTTAGAGCATTTTTTTTTTTGTCCTCAAAAAAATAAAAAAAAAGAATAATGTGATTACACACAATTGGATAAATTCAAAATATATTTCCAATATATTCTGGTTTTATTTATTTAAATGCATATATATATTTTTTTTTGTTTTTGTATCAATTTATTTCAAAATATAATCTTTTGTCAATTATTTAAAAAGAAAAATCTACGATGTTATATACCCACAATAATTATAATTAAGTAGAATATTAGTAATATAAGTCTTTTTTTTTTTTTTGTTTTTTTATTTTATTTTATTTTGTTTTTGTTTTTTTATTTTTTTGTTTTTTTTTTTTTTTTTTTTTTTTTTTTTGGATATTTGGCTACACTTTTTTTTTATTAGATATTTTTTTCAATTTAGTTAAAAAATGAAAAAAATTTCAGATTTTTACGCTTATTCCAAAAATAAATCAACAACAGTACTTAATTTAAAGAAAAAAGTAGAAATTGATAAAAAAAAGAATGAAAGTTGTTGGTTTAAAAACTTATATTGTAATTTTGAAAAAACAAAAAAAGATACATTTGAATATATCACTGAAAAAAAAAAACAATGGAAAATCAAATTTAGTAGTTTAAAATTTCCTTATTTTAAGTTAAACAATTCAAAATATGGACATTTTCCGTGGTATAAAAAATTATATTATCTAATAAGAGATCAAATTTATAATTTATTGAAAGTAACGGATGGTAAAATGGAGGAAGCAAAAATTGAACATAATGTCAATGAAAATAAAACACATAGAGAGTTTTATAGTGAAGAAAAGTTTGATAATAAATCGAAAGAAATATATGAAAATTCTAATGATTCTATATTTTATAAATATAGTAAAAAGTTAAAAAAAACAAAAACAAATGAGACATATTTTGGTGAACGTAGTCAATCAGAATTCATAAAAAGAAATATGTCTAGTAGTGTTATACCTATAAAAACAAATGGAAGTGTAGTAGATGAAAATATGTTAAAAGATACGAGTTCAATGAGAACGGTACATGAAGAAGATTTCTGCGATGCAAAAGAAACAAAAGAAATAGACAGTAATATTATTCTTAATAAAGATAGTTATAACTTTTTAAATGTTGCAAATTCTCCTAAATTTAATATTAAAAATACTTGGGAAAAATTAAGTGGATTTATTTCATAAATTATTAAAATGTTTAAAAAACAAATTGTTTATTTTCTTTTAATTTATGAATTAATTCTGTTAATATTATTAATTATTTTCTTCTACATTTCTAAACATTATAAATATAGAAGAAATTGCTTTGACACATAACATTTTTTTTTTTTTAAATAAAATTTTTACGTTTTCCTAAAATTAATGAAAACAGTTAAAATTTTAATTTATATATATATATACATATATATCATTTTGTTTATAAAGAACCCTTATTGCAACATTTAATTACTTAAGAATAACTATTCTTTATAAAAATGAATTTCTAAAAAGTACTTAAAATTTCTCATAAAAAAAAAAAAAATAAATAAATATAATAAGATGAACAGATTATATTAGTTAAATATTTACTTTTTTAGGAAATACATATTTCTAATTTAAACATTTATACATTAAAAATTTTTTTTTGAAGGTTTACTATTCAAAACATTTATACTTAAAAAAAAAAAAAAAGATTTCAACATTATTAAACTATTATTACTTTTATATAGAATTACACACTTTTTATAAACACCTTAAAATATTGTAATTTTGTGAATAATATAAATTGAAAAAAAAAAAAAAAAATACAAAAACACATCAAAAAATAACTAATAGAAGTAATAAAAATAAAAAAAAAAAAAAAAAAAAAGAATAAAAATAATAATATACATTAATTTATGTGTGAGAAACTGATATACTGAAGAAAAAAGTAATAAAATTATATTAAAAGATTATATTTATTAATGATATTGCTATAAATATTTAAAACTAATGTATTATAGCATTAATAAATATATCCATAGGGAAAAAAGAGAAAAAAAAAAAAAAAAAAAAAAAAAAAGCTTTCAATAAATATAAAAAACAATTGAAAATTTTTAAATCTATGTGTAATACGAATAAAACAATGAAATAAAATATTTTGATTTGAAAAAAAAAAAAAAAAAAATTTACATTTCTCTAATAATTTATTAAACAATATTTGTTTAAAAAATTAATTTTTATAATTTCTATTTATCTATCTATATATATATATATATATACTATAGTTAATTAGGTATTAAAAATTTTGAATTTTCATTTTATTTTTCTCATTTTTCTTTTTTTTTTTTGATAACGGTAGAATAAAAAAAAGAAAAAAAAAAAAAAAAAAGGGGAAATAACTTTATTTTTTGTACAATTTTTTTTTTTTTAATATGATAAATTAATTCATTATTAAAAATTAATTTTCATAATATTTAAAACTAAAAAAAAAAAAAAAAAAACAAGAAAAAATAATTCAAATGCTACTACTCTGTATTTGAAATAATTGATAATATTGAAAGAAATAAATTAACAATATCCATATATAAAGCTAATGTGGCAAAAATATAATCATCTATAGAAAATTCATATTTTTTATGTTTTCCTCCTATAATGAGTTGTGTATCAACAATTATGGATATTGATAATATAAATGCGCTTACTCCAGAATAAACTAAATTCATTATTTTACTACGAACAAAAATAGTTATTATACCAAGAACGAATAATATTAAAAATGCCATAAAAAGAAAAACATGCCAACCTGTAAAATCCCATTTTGTTTGAAAAGAAAAAATAGTTAAACCAATAACTACAGCTGCTGTTATACCAAATGCATAAAAAAAAATTTCCGAATTTGTTCTTGCAGTGGCTAATGATACTATTAATGTCATCCCAATTGTAATTAATAGTAAAATCAAATAATTACTTGGGTATTTTCTTGCTAATGTAGGATAGCAAGCCAAAGTTATCAAGATAGGCAAACTTAATAATATACCAAGTACTAAAAACAAGACATCATTACTTCTTACAAAAGTTTTAACTGGGTCATACAAAACTGTCAATGCCGAAAATCCAAATGTAATAAGAAGTTGAAGTGATAAAATGGAATAAACTTTCCTAATAAATCCATGTCTTATTTTTGTTGAAGAAAATTCGTTTAATGAAAATTCATCATATAATCCACCATTAGCTGTAGCATTAGTTGGTGCATCATAACAATATTCTTTTTGTTGATTTGGTATTGGTATATCATACATATTATTATTTAATTTATTTTGCTCATAGCTATAATTTCCATGATTATATACAGCACCATAATTCTGAGCTGGTGGAGGGGGGTTAGCACTATCTCTCCCATTTGCATTGTACATTTTTTTTTTAATATATTTATAAATGTATATGTATATAAATATATATATATATATATATATTTTATCTTCTAAATATATTATTATTAAATATATTTTTATAACTTAAATACAAATGCTCTTTATTTTTATAATTAAATATTTTTGTTAAAATTATTGACTATTATATACTTTCCTATTTATAAATATATTTACAGAGAATTCTATAAAAAAGTTATTCTATAACTTAAAAACTGTATATTTGCATAATTTTTTTTTTTTTTTTTTTTTTTTTTTTTTAAAAATTGCCAATATTTATATATTAACTGCTTTTTGTTCGTGTAATTTTATAACAATTAAATCCAAAGATAAAAAAAAAAAAAAAAAAAAAAAAANTTTTTTTTTTTTTTTTTTTTTTTTTATCTTTGGATTTAATTGTTATAAAATTACACGAACAAAAAGCAGTTAATATATAAATATTGGCAATTTTTAAAAAAAAAAAAAAAAAAAAAAAAAAAAAATATAAAATTTTTTTAATTTATTATATTTTATATGAATAATAATATATTTTGTTGTTGAACCATATATATCATTGTGTATATACGATTACTTTCCTCCATTTAAAATTAAAAAAAATGAAAAAAAATTTGCTCTTTTTTATAATATAGTAATAATTTTTATAAATATGTACAAATTTAATATTTATATTTCATCCTTATAAATTTAAGAAAAAATATAAAAATTGTTTTATATATTTTAACTGCTGTTTAAATTTGTGTTTTTGTTTTTTTATAATGAATTGCATGCATATATTTAATTTGATATTTTTTACCGAAGAAAATGAAATTTTAAAAAGAAATTGTATTCAATAATACAAAATACGCAATTTTTTAGTATACATGTACTTCAAAATTTAATTATTAAAATTTATATTAAAAAAAAATAATAGTAAAAAGAAATATTTATAAGATAAAAATAAAAACTGTTATATTAAAAATATATAATCAAGTAAAACAAAAAAAAGAAAAAAAAAAAAAAGGTAAAAGGAAAAATTAAATGAAAAGAAAAGAAAAAAAAAAAAAATGAAATAAAGAGAAAAGGATTAATAAAATAAAAAAAAAAGAAAAAAAGTTAAATTATGAAATAAAAAATGAAAAAAAATTAAAAAAAAGGGGATTAAATAAAATAAAGAAAAAAAAGTTAAATTATGAATTAAAAAATGAAAAAAATAAAAAAAAGGGGATTAAATAAAATAAAGAAAAAATGCTTAATTATTAAGTAAAAAAAATGAAAAAAAATTAAAAGGAATTACATAAAGAATAAAATTAATACATTAAATAATTTCAACAATTATATAAAATTGAAAATGTGAAATAAAGGAATATATAATGAAATTAAAATATATTTAATGGATTATTACATAGTTTAATTATGACTTTTTCATTTTAAGAATGTCTACATATTTTTTTTATTTCTGATGTGTGCATTCTAAATAATTTATTACAAATTTTTATGGTAAAATAATAAAAATGTTAAAAAAACAAAATTTGTAAAATGCAACACATTGTAATGTACAATTATATATTTGTGATAAAATTTCTTAAGAAGAAAAAGCATTTTTTAAATATAACTTTTTTTTTTATATGAGAATTCCTAGATATAAAAAATATCAACGAAGTGGCTATTTAAATAACTTTTTTTTTAACCATTTTTTCTAGAAAAAGAGAAAACTTTATAAATTATATTATATATATAAAAGGAAATATAAATTTCTCAATTTTAAAAGTATAACCTACAAAAACAAATTCTTAATACTGAATATATCTAAACTAATATTCTAATTTCTTTTTGTTGTCTTAAAACGTTTATTTTGCCATTCTTAAGTGTAAAGAAAACGAAAAAACATGAGATTAAACATGTGATAAATGTATATAAAAAAATAAAAAAATTATAAGTGTATATATTTTTAAATCTTTATCAATGAAACTTAAAATTTTAAATTTCGTATAAAAATAAGACAAAAAGGTAAAAGATGTGTTTAAGAATACCTTGGAAAATTCTGATTTTCATGAAAAATTATTTTATATTCTTTATTAGAAATAATTATATAAATTAAAAAATTACCATAATTCTCAACTAGAAAAAGGAGGAATATGAATATATGTATGTATTAATTATGATATTTTATATAAATGAAAATAAAATAAAATATCAAATATTCTCTTCCAATAATATTAGATGTGTAATAGTTTTGTATCATTTTCTATAAAAATATATTCATTTAAAATAAGAAAATATATATATATAACTTTTTATGAAATGATGTAAAAACATAAAATTTTCTTAAATGATTTAATCAAATTTATGTACATTATGTGTTAGATCTAAAACAACAAAAAAAAAAATTTTTTTTAATAATTATTCTGTTAAAAAGGAAAAAAAAAAATTTAATCAGAAAAAAAATATAAATTATAAGTATATTAAGAACAAATCAAACTATTATTTGTGTATTTCTTTCCACTCTCCTTTTTTTATTGCAAAAAAAAAAAAAATAAAATAAAATAATATTATTTTTCTTATATATGTATTATAGAAAATATTCATTAAATATAAAATATCTATTTTAAAATCCCGTGCTAAAAAAAAAAAAAAAAAAAAAAAAAGAAAAAAATTAGAAATTGTATATATTTCTTAACATAGGAGGAAAAATAAATTAGTTAAGTTTCTATTAAAAAACATACTTCTAGTATGTTAAGTTTTCTTTTTTTTATTTTTTTATAAATTTTTGTTTTTAATTTTTGCATTTGTTCTGTAATAGTAGTAAATATAATTAATTTTTTTTTTTTATTCTTCTTGGTATATTTGAAAAGAAGAGCTAAAATAAAAATATGAATTCACGATTTTGTAGCATAATTTTTTATACCATATCTCTGATTGTATATTCATTATTTATTTATTTTCTAAATAAATATGAAAGACAAAAAATTCCTACAAAAAAAATAAAACATATTTATCAACTAATTGAAGATAATTATCGAAAAAGACAAAACATAAATAAATTAAATAATGAAATAAAGGAAAAATACGATTCTAGTTTTAGCATAAATTTATATATTGTTTCTGCTTGTAGTAAGGAAAATTCTGATATATTTGGAGAAAAGCTTATATCGTTAATTAAAGAAAAAATTAACACACATGATAAAGAAGAGAAAAAATTATATAAATTATTTAATGAAAATGATCTTTTTTATATTAATTTATATTTAATTAACAAACAAATGATAGAAAATGATGAAACAAGAAAGTATTCTGATATATGCGAAAAATTATATTCTAAAAATAAACCACACCTTTTCATTGGTAATTATTATTATGTGTATGTTAATCAAGATTCAGAAAAAGAAGAAAACTTATCCTTTACATTATCAACAACAAATATAATAGAAATTCATTATAAAAAAGTTCAAGGAATAAAAAATAACAATTATGAAGAATATATAAATGAGTCTTGGAATATTTTAAAAGGTTCCTTTTTTTTTAAAACCAACAATCGGGTGTTAGAATATATTCCGGAAGTTGATTTAAATTTTTATTTAGCTAGTAGTCTATATAATGAAAAAAATTATAAAATAGAAAAGTATTCATATGATAAAGGGAAAAATGAAAATAAAAACATAGATATAAATATAAATGATAATAAACAGACAAATGAAAATATAAACAAAATTAAAGACAGTAATGAAGATAATGAAGAAAATGGTATAAATGATGATACATATATTAAAAAAAATATTAAAAAATTAAAAATTCCAGTATCTATTGCTACGTGGAATTTTTATGATGATTTTTATTATCCTTATATGAGAAATTTCATAGAAAGATTATTAAATATATTTCAAATAAATATTTACCCACAAATAATTGGTAATATAAATTTATATGAGATATCTGAAAAAGCTGAAGTATATATAAAAGAAAAACAAGCAAATATAGGAAATAATACGAGATTAATATTATTAGACAAAGTAACAAAGTTTACAGATGCATTTGATAATGTATCATTTGATAATATTCTAAAAAAACCCTCTTATGAAATTCCGAAAAATATAAATTTAGTAGCTATTTTTCCTAATGAAGAAGAAATTTTTTTTTATAACAATTTAAGTGAAAAAATAGAAACATCAGTATCTTTTATAGAATGGGGTATTATATATATAAATAATTCATTCACTCGTTTGAAAAAATTTGAAAAAGAGGAAAATAAGATTATAAATGTTTCAAAAGAGTCTCATGCTATTAGTGGAATGTTTGTTTCACATTTGAGAAAATTTTTAGGTTTGTGTGCAAATTTCAATGATTGTATTTTTAATTTTTTTGATTCTGATAAATATCAAATAAAATATTTAAATACAACATCAGAAGAGAATGATAGTTCCATTACTTATTCAATTACTACGAAGAATGACTTAATTTTTTCATTTATTTATCATATCCCTATAAAAAATAGCATATCTGATTATGAAATATTATCTTTAATTCGTGAAGCATATATATATCGTATAAATGAATCATTAAAAAATGTAAAAAAATTTTTATCTATATCAAATATAAGCATATATATGAAAGTACCATCATATACATTTAATGTTTTTAACAACATTTTAAACAATATTGAATGCAGTTTAAGTTATATGGAAGGAAAAACTTGTAAATATCTTCATATAAGTAAGTCAGTAGAAGAAAATTTCCAACATCTATTAAAGGGTAATAAAAATAATAATTATAATAAAGAAATATACTTAAAGGTTGCTTTAATTTTAGCACAATCTGCATATCAGGATTCTTTGCAAGTAATAAATACAATATAAATATTTATTTCTATTCACATATTTTTATGAACCAAATTAATCATAATATCATTACATATAGAAATGATTCTTTTTTTTTTTTTTTTTGGTTCTAATTTATGTTTGTTTTTAAAAGAAATATATTTTTAAAAATGCATGTTCAACTAATATTTTATATCTTATTTATATAACAATTATTTAATAACTATTATTTTTAAGTATATAAATGAGCTTACATTTATCAATACATAATTTAATTAATATACGTATATTTTTTTTTTTTGCAGTTATTAAGTGATGATAAATTAAATATTTATGATATTTTATCTAAAGATTTTTTATTAGCTACCATGTTACCAACAGTTTTTCCTTTTGTTTTTCCAGTTATTTTTGCTCTATTCAAGTTAGTTATTACTTTTTTTTTTTTTTTTTAATTTTATTTCAAAATTTAATATTATATTTTATTTTTTATTTTAGAGAATTTTTCAGAATCATTAAAATAAAGAAAGTAAAAGAGGATTAAAAATGGGATTTTATACTCCTTCAATTCTTTTTTAGTATATTTGTATACTTTTTAAATATTTGTTCTGTTGTTTATTTATTCACTTTTTATACCTAAACCATTAAGAGTTTACTTTCATATAATATTGCCTTTTTATATTTATGTGTTTATTAATTTTATAACTTTCATTTTATTGGAAACTACTGAAATACCTTTTTAAAATTAGTTTTTATTTCTTTTTTTTGTTTTTATCATTAACTATAAAAATTTTTTTTTTTTAATAAAATACATATCATATTTATCTAAAGCATATTTATCTTCCTTGTGAAATCTTAAATTTTTTTTCTACACATTTAACTTTATTTTTCTTAAATTTTTCACTCCTAATATGAATTTTGATAGTAAAATAATAATGATACTTTTTAGACTCCTTTTTATTACTCATATAATTGTTCTTGGTAATTTTTATATTTACAAAAAAAGTTACACCACCATAAATTTTAAGAAAAATGTAACACAAATATCTTCACAGAAAAAATTGTAAAAAATAAAGAATTAATAAAAATTCAAGAAGTATAAAATTAAAGTTAAGTAATTTTAAATTAGTAAATACATAGAAACTAAAAAGAATTAAGTTCAAAAAAATAATAAAAATTTAAAAACTAAAAATTGAAAATCAAGAAATTAAAAATAAAAATTAAAAAATTTGACAAGAATAATAAAAGATTAAAAATTAATGGTGAATGATAAATAAAAAATTAAAATTAAAAAAGTAATATATAAAAATTAAAAACTAAAAAATTAAAATTTTAAAAAAGTTCTTCATATTTTTTCGAATAATAGACTTCATTAAATATATATGAAATATTTTTCTTAAATAAGTTTTCATAATATGTTACTGCATTTTCTGTAGAGGACTCTTCTTTTTTAGACTAAAATAAATAAATAAGTAAATGATAATTGTATTAAGATTAGTATTATAAAAATATATATATATAAAGGTTATATTAGTATTACCTTTTTAGGGGTATAAAGTGTAACATTTTCTGGCATATCAAAATGAACTAGCTGAACAAAGATTCTATGATTGCTATCACTAAAAACTCTACATGTATTCGAAAATAAATCTGAAGCTAATAATGGACATAATCGAGTATATCTGAATATCATTGGGCATATATATAAGCCATATCTAAAAAAAAAAAAAAAAAAAAAAAAAAAAAAATATGAACATAGACATAAGGAAATTATAAAATTTTATGTATTAAAATAGATTAAATTTCAATCATTATTTTTAAAGTTTTCTTTTTTTACTTTTCAATTATTGTCTTCTTCAAATGACCGATAGCAGCTCCTAATGGGAAATTTTTTAAAATTTCATTTAAGCATTTTTTTACTTGTTCAATAGTTCTGATTGGGTGAATTTCTATATCACCTACAAATGAAAAAAAAATTTTAAATGTGACAAAAAAAAAATAATATAAATATATATATATTTATATACATTTAAATTTGTACACGTATATTTTTGATTCGTTTAAATTATTACCTAAATGCGGAAAACCTAATTGTGATGAAGTAGTAACACCATATTTTTGTTCTACATTTAAACCCAATGAGAACATACTTGAAAAAACAACAATGTTACAAGCACATAATGGTTGTAAATATTTATCTTCATAACGTAAAATATTAAGAGATATAGATTTTTGAATTAAATGGCAAATTTCTCCTAACTTTAAATTTTTTAAAAATGAAAGATTTCTATTTTTTAATTCTACAGCCATATTATACCTTCCTCCTTTAAACCTATATATTTGATCAACATTATCTTTTTTATTTTTTTTCCTAAAGCTTAAAACAGGTATAGAATTTTCTTCATTAGTTTTTGAAAAACTACCATTCTCCAAATTATTATTTAATGAATTATTTCCTGATGTTGAATAATGTAATTCATTTTTATTATTTTCTTTTATATTTTCATTTGCATCATCTTCTTGCTTATTATTCTCCTGAATATTATTTTCTTCTTTGCAATATTGACTTTTCATAATTTCTATTAAATAAATTAAAAAGCTATTCCATACATTTTCATCACAAGGAGTATCTTTATCACAAGGATCAAAAAAACCTTTAAAATCATCAGGTTCATTTTTTAAATAAACCGCCCATGAATCCGTATTTTCATCTTTTTCAATTATAAATTCTGGGTATGAACTGATATAAAAGTAAATATTTTTTATAAACTTTGAATTTATATTTAACTCTTTTAATTTTCTTACGACTTCTTTTTCAGTCGGTTTAATTCTTTCATCATACAGTGAAAGAATAGCATCATAAAGAACCGAGTATAAATTTAAGTTATTTGCAGATATACTTTTTGTTAAAGTACTATTCTTCATATTATTTTTTTTTTCATTATAATAATTCTGCAAATCATTGCAAGAATTAGAATTAGTTATTTTTTTTTTTTTCCTTTCTTTTCTGTTATTACTATTGTTATATATATTTCTTGAGTTTGAAAAAGAAATTTCATTTTTCAATGTATTAGTATTATTATTTGTTTTTAAAAAATCTTTAAAACCATAGTTTTTCATATATTTCGAATTACTGCTTGTCAATGACGGATTCAAAAATTTCATTTTTTTTTGATTCTCTTTCTTATTTTGTATATTTGATCCATCTAATATACTATCCTTTGTTCTTAACTTTGGAACATTATTACTTGTACTATTTATATTATTTTTTATATATGAGTTATTAATATTTTCATTATTGATACTATTGATATCATTACTGCTATCTTTATTTTTGTTACTATTATTATTATTTGTATTATTATTATCATTATTGTTATCCTTATATTTGTTATTATTATTATTATTATTATTATTATTGTTGTTGTTGTTGTTATTATTATTATTGTTGTTGTTGTTATTATTATTATTGTTGTTGTTGTTATTATTATTATTGTTGTTATTATTATTATTATTGTTGTTGTTGTTATTATTATTATTATTATTATTATTATTATTATTATTGTTGTTGTTGTTGTTGTTATTATTATTATTATTATTATTATTATTATTATTATTATTATTATTATTATTATTATTATTATTATTGTTGTTGTTGTTGTTATTATTATTATTATTATTATTGTTGTTATTATTATTATTATTATTATTGTTATTATTATTATTATTATTATTATTATTATTATTATTATTATTATTATTATTATTATTATTATTATTGTTATTATTGTTATTATTATTATCATTATTATGTGTATTATTATTATCATTATCATTATTATTTGTATTATTATTATCATTATCATTATCATCATTATTGTTATCATTATTTATGTTATCTTCATAATCATAATCAGTATTACCATTTTCATGATTATCTTCATTTTTGTAATTACTATTATTATCATTATCATTATAATCATTATCATTTATACTATTCATATCATTATAATCATTATTTTTATTATTATTATTCATGTTATTGTTATTATCATCATGATAATCATTATCACTATTTTTTATGTTAATGTAATTATTTTCATTATCGTTATATACATTATTGTTATAATTGTTATTATTACCATCACTGTTTATAGTATCTTTATCATTATTGTAAATCATTTGATGAAAATTATTTATATTTTTTACATGTATCATATTACTTATAACATTATTCATTTTACTACTAAAACATTCACTGAGGGAGTTTTTCATTTGGTTTAAATCTTTTAAAATGCTACTTTTTCTTAAAATGAAAGCATTTGTTACTTCACTAATATTATTATCACTCGAGATTTTGTTGTTATTATTGTTTATGTTATTTGTATTTTTTAAAAATGGTATGTTGGAATCATTCATGTAGTTTAAACTTACTTTTGCATTTTTATTACTGTTGTGTTCTTCATTTTTTGATAGTACATTATTTTTAAATTTCTTATAATCATTATTACTTTCAAAATTTTTATGAAATACATACATATCATCCATAAAATAATTTGTATTATTCATTTTTTTTAAAACATTTTTTGATTTATTTGTTAAATTATTCATATTAGTATTACTATGTGATTTTATTAAATATTTTTTTTCTTCATTTTTCTTTTTATAGAAATTATTTACGTTTTTAATACTACCTTTGGAATATATATATTTTTTATAGTTGTTCCATGATTCCATATTTTTTTCACTATGTAATGAATGATTTCTACTCATATTTTTTCCTTTTTCATTTTCAAAATAACCTTCACTATTATTTAATAACTTACTTGAAATTCTTTTAACATCCATTTTATTCAATGTTTTATTATGATGACAAATATTTTTTATATGTTTTGTGATATTACTTTCTTCTTTAATGGTTTTTTCTTGATTACATTCAAAATCATTTGAACAATTACTTTCCACTTCATTATTTAATTTTGAAAGCATTTCATTTTTATTAAATTCATGTAAAACGGGAATATAAAAAGGTTCCTCTTTATTATTATAATTGTTTGTATTTTTGCGAAAATTCAAAAAATAATTTGTTTCATGAGGAAAGTTAGAGTTATGTTCTTTTAAATATATCTCCTCTTCATTTCTATTAATCTGTTTTTCTAAATTACTTTTTAAATGATTTTTTTCTTGATTAAGATGATTCTTAATTTCTTCATCAAAATAACCTACATACCCCTCTTTTGTAAATAGTTCAGTTTCACTTTTATTCTTCATATAATTCATATTAAAATTATTTAAAAGAAAATCTACATTTAATGTATTATTATGAAGAATTGAATCTATGTGATTAATACTGTTTATTAAATTATTTTCTTTATTAAAATTATATATAGGGTTATATATATTATTCAATTCATCATCATCTATTTTAAAATTGTTTAAACTATTATTTATATTTAATTCATTATATATAAGACATTTATTATTATTGTTATTATTTTGTTCCTTCTTTAAAAATGTATCTTTTTGTTCCATTTCAAATCCGTCACATATTCTCTTATTACAATCACTAGAGTTTATTATATTTTCTCTATTTTCATGTAAATTTTGGAAATATTTATTTTTATCTATATAATTATTTAATTTATTATTTAATTTATTATTTAATTTATTATCTAATTTATTATCTAATTTATTATTTAATTTATTATCTAATTTATTATCTAATTTATTATCTAATTTATTATTTAATTTCTCCGTCGTTTCTTTAAAATTACAAGGAGATTCATTCATAAAATTAAGATCTACAATTTCATCTAAATTTATATTATTTTCTACATTCGTATTTTCTAAATAAATTTCCTTTGTACTACAAGTATTTAAATTATTATTACAATAATTGGAAGACAATTCAAAATTCGGCTGTAAAATATTTTCCTCATTTATACATGTATCAGAAAATTTATACTCATTGATTTCATTCATAGTAGATTTTAAAAAACTAATATCACAGAAATTTGATAATGTATTTGTATTTATTTTAGTAATTTTATTTACTACCTTTTCACATAATTCATTGTTATTTCTATTATTATTTTCATTATTATCATTACTATTATAATTATTTTTATTGTTATTATTATTCTGATTCTTATTAATAATATTTTGTTTATAAGTATTATTATTATCTTTCTTATTATTTATATTAGCAATATCATTATTGTTACTATTATAATTATAATAATAATAATTGCTATTATTATTACTACTATTACTATAATTATTATTATTACTCTTATTACTAATGTTACCATTATAATTTTTATTTTCAAAGCTATTTTTGTTAAGAGTTTTAATATTGTTATAATTATTAATATTTTTCTTCTCGTCATCATATATGTAATAATTCATGTTATTATGGTAACTATTAGATATATTATTGCTATTATTAACATAAACATCAAGACTATTATTGCTGTTATTATAATTGTTACTTTTATTAAAAGAAAATATGTTATTAAATAATTTATTTATATTATTCATTTTGTCCAATGATTGATCTTCCAATACATTTTCATTCATATCAAATGTAAAATTACTATAAATATTTATATTATTATTTTTTAAAAAATCTTTGGATAATGTATCTTCATTGTTAAAATCTTTATTTATTAAATGAAATAATTCAGATGGTTCAACAAAAACATCATTAAGATTTTTTTCTTTGAATTCATGATTTTTACTATAGTTTTTAGTGGAAAAAATAATTTCATCTTTTTTATAATCATTATAACTTAAATATTTATAATTTTCATGATTTTTATTTAACACATAACAATGATCTTCATTTTTTAAATCACTGTAATTTTTTATTCCTTCATTTTTAATGTCTACTAAATTTTTATTATTTTCTTTCTTTTCATCTTTTTTTTTAGAAAATGAAGTAATGTTTTCAGTATTTGTTATGTTATTACATTCCATAATGTTTTTTTTATTTTTTTTGTAATTCATATTTTCTTTTAAAAAATTAATAATAAATTGAAATTCCTTATTTTGTGATGAGTAATTTTTTTCTTTACTATTTACATTATTTAAAAGTTTTTCAAACAAAGCATTTTTTAAATTAAATTCTTTTAAATTATTTTCAACATTCCTTTTATCTTCTATATCATTTAAACTACAATTATTTTTTGTATTTTCTTCTAAATTTAAAAAATCAAAAGTATTTTTATTTGATGAAAAAAAGTCATCTAATAAATAGTTAAAATTTTTATTTATCTGTTCATTTTTATTTATATCTTTATTTTTGCATATATTTGACTTTTTTGTTTTCTTAATATAGTCACATAAATTATAATTAATATGACAATTATTTTCTATATAATCTTCAATATTATCTTCATGTGTTTCTTTTATATTTAATATATAGTCTGATAAACTTTTTAAAGTTTTCATGATTTTACATTTTGTAATTTTATAGTCCACTTTAACTCTTTTTTCTTTAAACTTTTATATATTAAAATTTATTATTGTTATTTTCTTATTTATATAATTAAAAAGTTGTATTCATTAAATATTCAAAATTTTTAATAGCAACTTAAAAAAAAAAAAAAAGAAATTCTTAAAAATTTCAATAAAAATTATTAATATTTTATAAAATTATACTTTAATTTTATAAGAGATAAACCAATTAATAAAAAAAAAAAAAAAAATGAAAAATTATTTAGTTTAAATATATTCTGTATAATATATGACAAATTTTTTTTTTTTTTGTTTATTCATTTTTTGTTAAAACAAAATAGAACATAAATCTTTTACATTCTATGTATAAAATTAAATATAAAAGAATTAATATTAATATAACTTTACAAACATAAAATATGTAATAACTTTATTTTGTTTTTATATCAATAAAAAGCATTAAATAAATATGTTTCATATATAGAAATATTAAAAATGTATACTTCTAATAATGTTAATTTAACATATAAAGCATTAAAATTTTAAGAAATATTATATTAAAATTATTTATTTTTTTTTTTTTTTATTAAATTATAAAATATTTATAATACAGATATCTTCATAAAAAAAAAAAAACATATATTTATCAAAATAAAAAGATAAATAACAATAACTCTAGAAATACATATTATATATTGATTTAATTAAAAGGTTTAGAAGTTTTTAATATAAATTTTTTAATAAATAACATTAGACAAGAGAACTACAAGTTTTTAATTTTAATGTCAAAAAAAAAAAAAAAAAAAAAAAAAAAAAATTTTTAAAAAGTTAAATAAACGAAATTTTAAATTTCTAAATTTAATTAATATAAAAAAAGTATAGAAAATATTCTATATTTAAAAATTATTTAAAAGTATATATAACAAATGTATAAATAAATATGCATATAAAAATACATATTTAATAAATACATCATTTTTAATATTGCGTGTTCATATATATATACATATATTTATATTTATACAATTTAAAAATTTAGTTGATAAAAATATATAAACTATAAATATAATTTAAAAATATAATTAATAATGGAATAAAAAATATGCAATAAAAAATCAGAACATTCATGAATGCCAAGAAAAAAAAAAAAAAAATTTTAATATTTAATAAATGAAAAAAAAAAATATATATATATTATATAAGAATGCAATAAAAAGAGAGTAAGTACATGTAAAGTAGCATATATAGAATAAAATACGCGCATTCAAAAAAAAATTATAAAAAAACATTTAAAAAAAAAAATTTGACGGTTCTTGTAAAATGATAAAAATAAAAATATAAAAAAAAAAAAAATGATTGATAAAAATATAAAACTAAAATATTTCTATTTTATATATATTTAAATAAAATGAATAAGACGTTTAAAATTTTATTAGTAAGATGAAAATATACAATAATAATAAAAAAAAAAAAAAAATCTATTTTAAATGTTTAGATTAAAAAGGAAATGAAAGCTAAAGTATATTAACAAAAAAACATTGAAATATATATTACTGCACATATATATATATAAATTTTTTATCAGATCCTTGAAAAATAAATGGATAAATATTATTTTATATTTTTGCAAAAAAGTTTATATTTATTATTCTATCATTTGTGTATAAAAAAGTAAAAAAATTAACATTAAATAGTTTCTTTTTTTTTTTTTTAATTTTCAATTAAATATTGTTAAAAAGAAAAAAAAAATTCAAAGTATTTTTTTTTCTTTTGTTACTTTTATATCTTCAGAAAAATTAAAAATACAAAAGTTATTTTGGTATTTATACTTAATTTTTTTTTTTTTTTTTTTAAAGATTACAAATTTATTCCAATTTAAATGAAAACTTTTTTTTTTTTTTTTTTTATATGTAATAGTAATTCTATAAAAGATATGCAAAATTAATAGTATAATATAATACATAAAAAAAGATTCTAAAGTTGTAAAGACAAGATAAAGTTTTTATTAGAATACTACAAAATATTCTCAACATAAAATAATAAAAAAGAGGATAAGAATAATATTTTTCCAAAAATTTTTATAAATAATACAGAAAAATAAAGTTTAAAATATACCTCTGTTTCTTTTAATTACATTACCAATTAATGAGTGACTATTGAATTTATAAAATTTTAAAAAAAGATTGTGTTTGAATAATTTATGCTGCAAGGATTTTTTTTTTTGCATGCTACTATAAATTTCTAAGTATAAAAAGATTATTTTTTTTAATTCTAGAAAACCATATATACAATACTTTATACTCAGTATTAACTACTATAGAAGTGGTTCAATATCATAAATAATTAAAAATACTTTTAAGATATTTTTTTTTTTTTTTTTTTACAACTTCGATATTTCTTCGTATATATATTTATTTTTCCTTTTTTTTTTTTTTCTTTGCATATTCATGAAAAAAAAAATTCATTTATAGGAAGATATGGAGATTTGTTTTTTATCATTATTTTTTCAATACCCCATTTAAATTTAATTTTCATTATATTTACAAAATTTAAAAAAAAAAAAAAAAAAAGGGGAAACGAAAATTGATGAATATGAAATGAAGATATTCTTATTTTATTCTCTACTTTCATGAATAAAAATTGAAAAATTAAATTTTTGAATATAATTAAGATATAGTGTAAACAAATTTTTACTTTAAAAAAAAAAAAAAAAAAAAAAAAA